AAAAAAAGATCAAAAAAATTGAAAAATAAGTTTTTCAATAAGAGAAGAACGATAGAGTCGCATCCACGCTTACAAGGTATCGATGTAAGTTAAAAAATCAAAAAGAGAGGATTCCGTGGATTGAACACGGGACCTAAAGATTTGCAATCTTCCGCTCTACCGCTGAGCTAAACCCTCTTCTGAAAATTTTTTTCGATATGTAAGTAAAGGCTCATATAAGTAACCACTGGACCTTGAGTGTTTTTGGGAGTTTACCGGATCCCGAAAACAACGTGTTTTCGGGATGTTTTCGGGATCGAACTTTGAACGTGAATAACTCTATCAATTCTTTATGAAAAAGCGCCAGAAAAAGCTTAAACGATGCCTCAGATAAATATCTACAAGTGCATATAAAGAAGCTTAGAGATTGTTTGATGTCTTTTCTTTTTTCTTGATTTTAATTTTTAGCATAAAAATTTAATATACACTATAAAAATCTATTTTTTTTTCAGAAACTAACGCAACAGCTACATCCAGCATAAAAATTAAAGTATAAAGCCATTTTAAACTGCTCAGTTATCTATGTTTTTTATGGAGAAAATGCAGAAAATAAACAATAGCTGTGTTTTGACATGGTACAAGCTGTCTAAATTTAGAAGGTGGAGCATTTTCAGCAAAAAGACTTAGAAAAAAAATAAAGAAAAAATAACATTGAATCTCAGCTACATGCCGGTAAGCGGATGTCAATTAGAGTAATGGAAGGAATGCAAGAATTCATGACTGAATGGAAGTTATTTCAGTTCTTTAAGGTAAGCTTTAAAATAATAGAACGTTTCTGTTTCATTTAAAAGACTTATTCGTAATATATGAAGAAAAAGCGAATTCTCTGTAATTTAGTCATTACGTTGGTCATTTAGAAATTAGAAGGCAAGTACAGTCTATACGCGTTATAGTGTAGTTTTTATATTCATTTGCTGTTCTAACTAAGTGAAAAGTAAGCAGAAAAAGAAAAAGAAAAGATGCTAGTTATAGTTGTGCAATTTGACTTGTTAATTCTCAAAATGTAACGTTGGTAGCTTCAATTCATTTGTAAACATTCAAATCTTTATATCTTCTAAAATACTTCAAAGTTGTTCTACAATAGTAGCTATTAGCTTTTACTGTTCTTATATCTTAAATATCACAGAAGGCAAAAAAAGACGTGTGGCATAGTAGTAAATTATTTCCTGATTAAGTGGTAAGGCCGCTGGGAACGAAAGGGCTGTCGCTTATAAGCTAAATCTACTCTATATTTCCTTTTTTCTCCTAAGGTAAGTACCTGATGAAATGATTTTAACAAAGTTTTAATAGACTTGTAGCTATGGTTATTTGAATAGACTGTTGTATGGTATTAGCTTGCGAAAGGTAAAAACATCATGCTTCCTTTTAAATACTGTTGCCAACAATTCTTTTTTATATAGTCTACTTTTATTTTTCTAAGATGCTATCGTACTATTCAAATAAAAGGTAAAAGATATTCTTTATTCTAAAAGGATCATCTTGACTAACCAATCTTTTTTTTTTATTAACTTATAGTGTAAAATACTTGCTGATGAATAATAGCTGCTACACGGTCTATAAAGAAAGGTTATATCGTTTAGTAGGGCTACTGTGGTAAGTACTAACATGTATATCCCCCTCAAATGAAGTCTTTAAAGTCTCTCCTTTGCTGTTTACATTTGTTACTTTTATTTCTTGCTGCAATATAATAAAAACCGTATTTTATAAAACAAATACCATTCTTTTTCCACCAATAGTAATTGGTAAAGAAATATCCCAATAAGTCAATTATAAAAGATCTAAAGAAGTATATGTGCCAATAATAAAGCTTCATCTAAAAAAAAAGCGCCAACGGTAAGCTCATCATCTAAGGAAAGAAGCCAATAAGCAATGGTTAACAGAATGAATCACACGTTAAAGAGCCAGTAAGAACGCGTATAGGTCCGTGTTTTTGGTATACATTACTCCCAGTTACATCCAAATTACTAATTTAACATGAGTACAATATTTTTATATGAAGATGGACATGGAAATGCTGTTGATGAGAATGGTGGTCCTGAGCCCATGGATTACATTGTTGATGAGAATGAATTTGTTGTTGAGACACTTGCTACTCATAGTGAGTACATGAAATCTATATCCTCGAGTGAAACTTCCTTTACTTCTCCTATGCTGATAGAAAAGCCAAAAGATGAAGATACTCATATGAAGGAGGCAGATGTAAAACGGGATTATGTGCGTTATACTGTTCAGGATAAAGCTCGGTTATTCGATTTGAAGATTGAAAAGTGTACGAGTGCATCAGCTGCAGCGAAGCGATTGGGTATTCACATTCGAACAGCGTACAGATGGGTCAAGCAGTATAATATGTGCCCTGATAGCATTTTTGACAGTATTAAAAAAGTAGGTCGAAAATGTATCTTGACGGAAGATCATAAAATGACTGTTATCAACTTCACTGATGCTAATCCATCTGCTTCTGTCGTTGAAGTGACCGAGCATTTGTTGAAGCAATTTCATGATCTAAAAGTTTCTCGCAGCACTGTTTATAACTTTATGAGAAGTGGTTGCAACCTTTCGTTGAAGAAAGCAGATTTCCACTCTATTGAAAGAAACAGCCCAGCAAAGATCGATGAGCGATACAATTGGGTTTGCAAATGGGAAAATACAGAAATGAATTTCCTGACGAATTGCGTGTTTCTTGACGAGTCTGCTTTTGACATAAATATGAAACGTTCAAGAGCTTGGTCCAAAAAGGGTACTCGTGCTATTGTTACCTGACCTACAACGAGAGCAAATACAACGCCCATACTGGGTGCTATCTCAGCAGCAGGTTTGATTACGGTTGCCGTAAAAAAACCAAGACCTGCGAAGAAGAGAAAAGCTGATGGGCATATCAGTTCAGGAACTGTAACAGACCATTACATTAGTTTCTTAAAATCAACTCTCGATGAAATGGATAAACACCCGCATATGAAAGGTCACTATATAGTTATGGATAATGCACCCATTCATACACATAAAAACATAAGAAAGTATATGGAATATCGAGGGTATAAATGCGTGTATCTTTCTATTTACTCTCCAGAGCTTAACTCAATAGAGCAGCTTTGGGCAGTGGCAAAGAGTAAAGTTAAGCGCCATAGATTTTGCAGGAAGACACTTTATCAAAAAGGATTACGGAGGCCTGCAACAGTGTAGAGAAAAGCCACTTCAAAGGTTTCGCTTCGCATTCTTACAAATGTTGGGATAAAATGTCGCAACAAAGTGCCCATGTAAGAGTTAGCAAAGTCTTTTTTGGTCGAAAACATTTTTTTTTTGTTAGGCAGTGGCTAGCTTTTTTTATTTTGTTAGGCAAAATGACTCGTTATTTGTATTTGTGGCTGATATGAAATGTGATTAGATTTTTTGACGCTGGTTCAGGCGGCAAACACGAGATCGATCTTTTGAACCTGAAAATAAGCCTTGGTAAATTGTTTGCGAAATAGTTAGTCGATGAGAAGCGGTGTCGTGTGGTTCACTTGGCGGTTTGCAGAGACGATGAAACACATCAAGTACAAGAAAGAGGTATGGCATATCCATTACCAGTTTTGATAAATCGCGAATGGTGTTTGGAATCGTGACAGCTACGAGCTCATAAAACGAGTACAAGCCAGTGGATGGAAGCGTCATACCGTAAAATGAGACCCTGTTCCCCACAACTTGGATGCCAAGTACACCATCCACGCTATATTCATCAAGAGCATCTTTGCAAAATATCGTCACCCGCATGAGGTCACAACAGAGCATGAAGTTGTTGTCGGATTCCACCGTCGGTTTGGCCACCCCATATGCGCTGCTTACCGCCCAATGCACGCCTCGGGCACACGTTATAGTAATGCCGAGACGCATGTTCGTCAGCGTGTCCTTTTTCTTCACCTCCATAGTGCGCTCATCAAGCCAGCGGAAGAAGATGCCTTGAGATGGGTCGTCAAAGAGGCCACACAAAAAAGGTTCCACAAAGCGGGTGTTTTGCTCCATTTCTCGAAGCCCTTGGTCAAGAGCAGCGTCAGATAATTTGCGGATCAAATTGATAATAGCATCTCTGATTCAACGCTGTCGCTCATCCCGCTTTAACAACATAAACTGAAAAATGGCAGCATCACGATCGATCAGATGTTTGTCCAAATTGTCCAAGGTTTCCACCATACTTTTCATCAGTCCAATGGCATGAAGTCTCGTGTAAGCTTGTACTTGGATTGCATGCAACACAACGTGGCGACAAGATCCGCGTCAGAGAAAAAAGGTGCCAGATCATTTGGGTAATGATGAGGGGATAAAAGTAGCTTCATACTCCACTGTGAGCCTTGCCGTGTATCTTGTTTGCCTGTCGAGCCTCTTCTTGAAAACGGTGACACCAACGCCATTAGTTTGAATAGTGCCACAGAATCTAAGTTGTCCACCTTCTTGCGGCTTGAAGGCTTTTGAATCAAGGTTGATAACTCGGCATTAGTAGTCCAGTTTATCGACAGCATTAGGCCATCGAATTCCCAGGACGTTTTGGCAAAGAATCTTGCTGTCGATAGTAACGTAACAAGGAGACCATGAGCGTCGGAGAGGAAAACAATTGAAGACGGGCAAACCAAGATGTTCAAAAAGACGAGAAAGTTGATAGAAGGCCTTAAGGTGGTTGACAAGGTTACGCTTGATATCATAATAAAGTCCCTGTTGGCCAAAGCTGTAGCCTTCATTATAAGTATCAAAAACAGGCTGAAGAGCTTCGAGAGCTTCCATGTAAATACGTTCTTGAGGGGGTTGTTCCATATCTATAGTTTGCTGCGAAATAGCCTGCTTGAATATCTGTGCTGGTAGAATGATGTCTTGACGGATGCAGTGCTTGATTTCATCATCATCCATAACTTGTATAGACAGATCTCGTCTCAAACCTGCTGTTTGTTGCCGTATGTCAAGTAAAACGTTGACGGCACATCGGAGGTGCTGACCAAATCTAAGGTGAACGTTGTTGACGTAAGCTGTGTAGATTTTGGTGCCTTCCATTATAGCAGATTGCTGAGCAAATACGAAGTTGGGTCTCTGGTAGTTGGTGATTCTAAGGTAATTAACCAAGTACCGATTGATTTATTCACGATAGCCAATGATGAGTCGAGCGCAAGCTCGGCCTCTTGAATAATTAACTAATGAAAGCCATACTTCTTTAAAAAAATCCTTGTTGATATATCCTTGTATTCTGAAATTCATGACTTGCAGCTCCCGAAGGAAGATGAACTTCGAGAAAGAATAGGCGTGCATGGTGGTGGTGTGTACACATTCGACGAAGCTTTCGAGTGTTTTACGATGGAGATGGTTCCAGCCAATGCCATCAACAGAGGATTTAACAGCCAAAATACGGTCGCCGGGTGCGAGGGAACTAGAAGTTCTCATAGCCGATGAATCGAAGGAGCTTGGAGTGGAGCCTTTATCAATGGTGAGATATCTATTGAATATATATAGTTAGTTAAAGATTATCTCTAATAGCTTAAAAGAATTTTATTTACTTCTAATTAAATAAATATATATATTTATAAAAGATTGAAGAGCTAGAAAAACGATAGATGTGAGCCTATAAGATATATTGTTAAATAGTGATGTATCTATTCGTTTAGATAAGCTTTTACTTACTGGAAGTGCTTGATGCGTAGATTTAAAAATATAAAGATTGATTTTAGAAAATAAAGAGCCAAAGAGGTGTATCTATTAGATGTATTATTAGTTACAGACTGCATCCAACAGTTTAACTACGCTTTTACTTGTATAAAAATATGATTAAACGCTTTTTTTTAAAAAAGAAAAGGAATGAAATGATAGTGAAATGAATGATTTCGTAGCTAAAATAGTGCCCTTTTTATAGTGAAATTCATAATGTTGTCAGTAGCACAAAAACTCCAGTAGAATCATGAATGTGTTCAAAAGCATGAGCATATGTTTAGAACTAATAATGAACAAGGGTTATAGATATCATATTATTCTCAGAATAAACCAATTGATTGAAGCCTTTCGACATGATTAAAGTCAAATTGTACAGAGAATGCCGGTTAAATCTCTTGATTTTAAAGCGTGTAAAAGCTTCTTGAATTACTAAATAGAGAGAGAAATGACTCATTATTAAGGTATCTGATGGATAGCTTGAACGACTTTTAGTTTCTGTAGCTAAAAGATTGTTATTTAATTGCATACAAAAAAAGAAATAAAGGAGAAAACAAACAGTACATTTGCTTGTAGCCGTGGGATATAATGTATTTAGCAATACCTTCAGATTTGTGGATAGGAGCGTTATTCATAATAAGGTAATATCCTGTCATATGTGGGCACTGATCCATTTCATCCATTGTAGCCTTCAGAAAGCTAAAATAATGACCAGTTACTGTCCCTATACTCGTTAGCTCAGCATAGCCTTCTCTCTTTCTTTTCTTGGCTGGCAGCTGCGATAATCTCAGACTACACTTTATTAACCCTGAAGCAGAGATCGCACCGAAAACCATTATTGTTTGTGCTCGGGTTTTGGGTACTGTGATCACAGCAAGCAATCTTTTTTTTTGACCAGGCCACACTACATTTTAAATAAATATGAAATGTAGACTCCTCGAGAAAGGCGCAATTAGTTCTAAAGTCTATGTCCGTACACTCCCACTTACGAACCCAGTCGAAACGCTCCTGAATTTTTTCTTCACTGTTCTTATCTACTAGGCTGAAATTGGGCTTTTTTGAGTGGCAAATTACGTTCAGTTCTTATAAAATTGTAGATAGTGCTTTTAGAGACCTTGAGATCCTGAAACTTTTGAACTAGTCGCTCCATCACTTGCTCCAAGATGGCTGAAGGATTCTTATCTATGTACTCCAAGATCACTTGCTTGTGTTCTTCTTGAAGTATACGCGAGCGACCGGTTTTCTTATGCTTTATAAAAATACTGTTAGGATCCGTTTTGTACATTTGAGGTCATCTTTGAGCTGTGCGAACATGGATACCTAATTGCTTTACAGCAGCTGAAGTTCTCATAACTTTCTCAAACATCAGTTTAAAGAATCTAGCTTTGTCCTGATCCGTATAGCGTGTGTACGCTCACTTGCTCCACGTCTCTTTCATAAAAACATCTACGTCATCTTTTGCATTTTCATCTGCCATAGAGCCTACGTCGAAATTATTTTCTTGAGGCTGATTATGCAAATACTGGGTGTGTGAACTAACCGTTTCTAAAGCATATCACTCCTCATGGATGATGTAATCCATAGGCTCAGGCCTACCGTATTCACCAACTGCATTACCATGCCCATCTTCATAGAAAATTTGAAAGCTCATTTTGTAATACTTGGATTTTAATGAGGAAGGGAGTAAAAAGAGATCTGACAGCGCTTTCATGCTTAATATGCTCATATTTTGTACGATAAAGCTTCTACATATACGACATTTAATTTGTTAGCAAGCGAAGTCAACCAATGGTTAACGTGACATTAGAATTTAGCAAACGCGAATTTTACTCTTGGCATCAGTATCAATAACTTTTGGAAATATTGTAGATGTTGATCAGTCTATTCAATGCAATTCATTGTAATGTTGTCCTACTGAATATATATTAATTTAGTAAGTGATTAAAGGAGCATTGAAACGAAATGTAGCAATATGTATATCTTTCTTTGTTGCTTTAGTTTCAAAATATTGATTTTTATTAAAAAGAAAAAACTTTGGTTTATTGATAAAATTCATTAAACTATCCAATGGCTCTTTAAAATAAAGAAGAAATGGCTACAGTGCATTAGACGTGCTAAGAATAAAAAAAAAACAAAATAGAGGATGTAACAAATATGTCTCATCAAAATCGGCGAGACTATTTACTCCAGTTGGTCAAAGATTTTGTTTGGCTCAATAAAATAAGAAATCTCAGTCAGCCAATCACAAATTCAAGTGGCAATTAGCTTGGCAAATCCTGATCCCCCACCTTTAGACTTGTTCTTTATTGAATAAATGAGGCATGAATATGACAATGCGTATTAAAAGTATGAATTTTATTGACAAATAGAATGAATTATGCTCCCATTCTAATTGTTTTTAAAAACTGCGGTAACTTGATACGCAAAAGGCTGTAACTGAGAGAATCAATAAACTCAAATAGGAAATTTCACAAGTGAATACAAAAAACGGTATTTAAAAGCATATGAGAAACTAGACTCTTTTCTTCCTTCATTTGCTAAGCAAGAACATATGAAAGGGAAAATTTTGGTTTTATTAAAATTGATCATCTTGCTAATAAGTGTAGCAACTTTAACATGTCACATTGGTAAAAAGCAAAGGAAGAGAAAAAAATCAAAAAGAAAGTGATGATAATAGACTATATCGTAAATTTAGGACAAATCGTATTACTTTTACAGATGGAAGGCACAGGAAATTGGTGGCCAGATTATGTACCAGTACGTGAAGAAGAAGAAGAAGTTACTGTATTTTTAATTGACGTTTTTATAGTTCACTCTTTACTATGTTGGTCCTATTGTCTCTACTCTATCAGTCAACTCTTTAATTTTCCTTCTCTGCCTAAGATATACATTAATTATTAGTCGAGTTGTAGGTGTAATCAATGTTGGTTTATTTACTGCTATTGTTGCATACAATACAACACATTCTGGGACAATTCCATGGTTAGGAGCAGCAGCATCAGACTTCAGATCAGACGCTAAAGGATGGGTTCCTTATTGTAGTAGTTATTCCTACCTTAACACCTCCCTTCGTTGCTGTAAGTGACAATGGTATTTACGTGGTGTAACGTGATCACTAAAGTCATCTTCAATTTACTTACATTTAGATCTCATCAATGGTGCTTGGCTTGGCTGTGTTATCCTGTTAGCTCTCTGGATTCTACTGACTATCTATGTTTGCATACTAAGAGATTCAACATTTTATCATAAAGATGATTATGATAATTATGACTTTAAAGATGATGTACCAATGGTGTATAAACCATCAGATTATCCTGGAGTACCTGTTGCAGCCACACCTATGACAAACCCATCTATAAAATAAAGTAATAAAATGATGTATTCCACTAGGAAGCCACGCCGATGTCAGGAGTAAAAAACGTAGTGACGGAGTAATGCATTTTTTTTACAATGTACATGTGTACGGAAGATCATTACATACATTGTTAATGGCGTCAAGCTATCAACTGTTGTATCGGTATGACGTATGTGAAATAGATCAAAATAAAGTAAACATTGATTTGTGTGCCTGAATTACAATGGTTACCTTTTACAACTAAAAAATAGTCATATGAAAATGCGCACGGAAGCATGACGGTTCCATAAGTTGCCTTTTTTTTTTTTTTTAAAAAAAAAATGCTCATGACCATGATCGAGCGGTAGGCTTCAACCCTTTGTGATGATTGTGCAACATCTCGGTTCGCCCCTCTTTTTCCAGACAATCTGCCCCAACATATACAGATGGAGTGACTAAAATGACGGTATAGCTTCTTTTACAGTCAAGAAGTTCCTATGACCCTTATGTGAGCTGAACTCGTGTACTCGATTTTTTTGCCCAAAGGGCTCATATATAAAGGGTGTCCGATTTTTGAATCCTTCTGCCAACGTTATAGACACAGAAACAAAAAGAAAAATAGATATAAAATTATAGAAAAACGAAATGGAAGCATATCAAACAAAACCACGTCGCATTATCGTTTGTCTTGATGGAACATGGGAGACACCTTATGGTAATAATTGCAGCAGTGAATACAATGCTTTTTAACTGAGTGCATGTAGAAAGGACCAATGTTTATAAATTTGCACAGGCTCTCGCTAATGGGGATGTAATTGATTATAAGGGCCAAGCCTGGGAGCAAGTACACACGTACTATTCGGGTTTGGGTACTAGCCGATATAAAATACTTGGAGGATTGTTTGGATACGGAATCAGTGGACAGATAAAGTCAGCTTACAAGTACATTTGTGAACACTATCGTGATGAAAGAGACGAAATTTGGCTCATTGGATTTAGTAGAGGAGGTATACCTGATAACGTGATTTCAGTGAATGATCTCTGAATTGACTAAAAGAACAATTTTAGCTTATGCTGTTAGAAGCTTATCCGGAATGATTTATAATGTCGGATTGCTTCCACAGAATAAAGTATCCAAAGTTGAACAGGCCTATCAGCTCTACAGACTTCGCGGTGAAAATGGCCGACCTAATGGAGTTGATGCAATCAAATTTCGACAAAAATATCAATGTAAAATGCCATCTATCCATTTCTTGGGCTGCTTTGATACTGTGGGGGCTCTAGGTGTACCAAAACTACCTTGGTTTCTTGGTGGATCCATCTGTAAGTCTCAATTGATTTTTAGAGATGAAAAAAAAAAAAAAAACTGATCATACTATTAGTCTATAACCTATTTCATGGGCTTCATGGTTTTCATGATACTAAGCTCACACCTATTGTCAAACATGCTTATCATGCTATTTCTATTCATGACCAGCGCGCCTGGTTCCGTCCAACGCTCATGCATTTTTCTGATAAGCGATATCATCCGGAATCACAAACTCTAGAGCAAATATGGTTTCCTGGTATGCACGCGGATGTAGGTGGCCAAGAGATTCCGAAATATTCTAGAAATGTCATTTCATGTCATTCTTTACAATGGATGATGTCAAAGGCACATAGTCAAGGATTAGTATTCAAGGAAAACTTGCTGCGGCAAATGTTGGATTGTCGAGGCTGTAAATTTATTTACCAGGATAGCTATTGTAGCTCTCTTGTTTACAGACTTATGCCAAGGGAAGATAGAGTGATAGAAAAGGATGTTACTACGCAAACATACGATCCTAAACTACAATTATATAACCAAGGTGATTTCTCATCTTTTCTCACTAAAGAAGACTTGAAGAAATATAAATCAAGAACTCTGATAAATTATTTTGAAAAAATATATGACAAGAAGATTGACTAAATATAGGACATTTATAAATATGATATATATATACATGTATAAATATATAGAATAAAATATGCTTATTGTACATCATTTATTCACATTGATTAATATGTCTTCACAAATTGATGAACATTAACCCGTTCCGGTCATAATTCAGAAAACGACTGTTTGTCGGTAAATCTTTTCTTCCTTATTTTTTCTTTTTTTCTTTTTTTGGTTTATATTGAATAGCCATGGAAAGTAATTTTGAAGGTCGACAGGAAGAAGTAGTATCTGAACCAGAATCGAATTCTTCAGATAAAAGAAGAAGTAGAATAACAAGAGCTTGGTAAAATGTACCTTTTATTTTTACTTTATAAAACAAACGACTTATCTCAATAAAACAGCGATTACTGCAGACGAAAAAAAGTAAAGTGTCATTTTTCACCTGGACAGCCATGCGACAACTGTATAACAAATAACATCACCTGTGAGTTTAATGATAGGTAAATTGTAAAGACACACGGTGGGCTTTTCTTTAGCTAACTCTTTATGTCTAGTGCAAAGAAAAGAGGACCACCAAAAGGGTAAGTGTAATCAACAAAATTAATTTTAATCAAGGGTTTACTGAAAATCATAGTTAACTATACAAGCTATATCGACGCCTTAGAAAAGAGGATACGAAAGATTGAAGAAAAACTACATAATCCAGTCATAAGACCTGAAACACCAGCAGTCAAAACAAAGGAAAATGCATCATTCAATCAATCAACCTATATTCCTTTCAATAGTAAACAGAGTCTGAGAACATCAGCAGATAAAGTGGTTTATTTGGGTGATCTATCCAGTTTACAGTTCTTTTCAAACAAAATTCCTTTAAATGATAAACAGACATGGACAGGTCAACGCATACGAAAGTTTGGTAATGAGCTCGTACTCATTGGAGATACAAAAGAAGAGGACGATCAACAAAAATGGTATCAGAAACTATCGTTACCACAGCTTCAGACAATACACTACTGGATCTATTCGGTCACAGGCATAGATAGACATACATCGGATCGACTCATCAAAATGTAATGTGTTGAATAATCAGTAGTAAAAAAAAAAAAAAAAAAAGACTTGACTGAACTTTATATTAGATATTTTGCAAACATTCATCCCGTACTTCCTGTTGTCAATAAGGCAAAGTTTTTGGAACAGTATCGAGATCAATCTGACACATACCCGCCTGCTGATTTATTAAATGCTATGCTTGGAGCAGCAGCAAGATTCGTAGAATGTGACTCACTCAACAGAAGTCCTAGATCTCCGGATAGCATATGGGATGTACCAGTCGGATGGTCGGATCAGTTTTTTGAGCAGGCTGAAAGGATTATCACTCAATGCAACCCACATCCAACTATTTCAAAGGTTCAAGCAATTATCTTGATTCACAACCATCGGGGAAGCATGGATTCCAAATCATCTGCGTGTTGGATGCTAGGTGGCATAGGTGTTCGAATGGCACAATGTTTAGGCTTAAACAAAGACTGCGAGGAATGGGATATACCTGAGAGTGAGAAGCAGACGAGAAAGCGGATATGGTGGTCGCTTTACATTGCTGATCGGTTTCATTCTGCTTCACTAGGAAGGCCACTGAGTATTAGAGATGAGGTAAGATACATGCTTAATTTAATTTGCTGACTAATTATCTATTTATAATTAGGATAACGACGTTGGATATCCTGATCCTACCGCCAGCTGGAAAGAAGTGCTAGATATGCCCGATGAGAGCGAGCGTGATACATTCATGCGATTTCCTTCTGCTACGTGCAATCCAAGGCAAGTGGAAGGAAGGGTAGGAATATATCAGCTATTTGTCGAACTTATCAAGCTTTCTGAAATACTGGGAAGAATCTTACAAGGCTTATATACTCCTAAAGCAAAGAGACTTGGACTAGAGCAAGCAAGCGATTCCATTGTTAAGCAGTTGGATGAGGAATTGACTCAGTGGAGATTTGGTTTTCCAGTAGCATTAAAACGAGCAGCATTTGAGGACTTTGATGAAAAACGAGGCTACTTGGCCCCTGTTACAGGTAAGAGGTAATGTAGTTCAATGATTACGTAGCCTAATGCTTGATTATTACAGCTTCTGTTCTCTTGTGCTACTTTAGCTTACTCATTTTACTTCATCGACCTTTTATTGAAGCGAAGCCTAGTGGGCACAAGAAGGCAAGATCGACATACTCATCTTTCAGTATTGGTACGAGTGCAGCCACTAGAGGCATTCGTATCGCATCTCAGATGACAATACGTGATTTCTTGATGTTTCCTTACTCATTCAGTCTGTATCCAGTGCTGCAATGTTGTTTGATTCTGATGTACAACACAAAGAATCCAGATGCAAGGATTTCAGCACCAGCCAAGGCAGACCTTGTAAAAGGAATAAACATGATTTCAAGGGTGCGAGTGGTATCGAGTACAGCAAAGAGACTCTATAATTTATTAAAGACAATAATGGGTCAACAGAAAATTGAATTATCGGATTCAGAGGACTCAAACCGCTCTTTTCAAGAGTTTAACACCGATAATCCCGCCATCTCGTCTCATGCATCCGATGGTCATGCACAGAGTCAAATGGACACTGCGACAAACGGAACACAGCGTCAACCAAGCTATTCTCCTCGAACCATGCCGACTATTGCATCGCCTTACCCTGGACAATATGGGCTCGTCTTGTCTGACATGATGGCTCCACCTAGTGTGGATGTTGGTTGTAAGTCAATCAATTACCTTATTTTTCGTGATATTAACCTAAAGAGCATATAGCCCCCGCAGGATTATCTCCTACTTCATCTATGCCAGAGGCGTTTAGTTTGAAGCAGTTTGGGTTTCAAAAATCATTACCAGATTATGATATGCAGAATATATCAGAAATGCCAATCATTAATCAAAATATATACAATCCATTTCAACAATTTAATCCACCCTCCATGTCAATATCAATACAGCAGCAACCCATTTCGGCCTATGCTAATCCAGGAGGTATTGCAACAAAGATACACGATAATAATGAGGGTATCTTTAGAAATAAGCCAAATAACCCTTTCTTTGGTATACCTGCATCCATGGATTGGACTGAGTGGAATGAGTGGAGCCAAAGCACTCAAGGGAATACAGAATGGCAGTTTCAGGCATAGATTATACATATACATATATATTTTTTCATCCCTTTTTTTTACATCACAGGCAAGGTTTGCATTATAAAGTTTCATGGCCACAGTTTTTAAAAGAAATAAAGTCTGGTTTGCATAAATGTATCTCTCTCTTTTTGTCTCTTGAGCATTTCTAATGATGGTAATTCTCTTAATGATTTACTATGAAAAAGAGAGAGAAAGAACGTATTCTAAATAAAGGCATAAAAATAATCCAATAGCCCTTTTTTTTTTTTTTCCTTTCTCTCATAAAAAATTCAAGCAGTTTCTGAATGACTGACTACAGATCTCTGACTAACTTGAAGCAGGTAAAATAACGCAAAAAAAAGCTTGTTAACCTAAACATGTATAACTCTTTCTGTTCAATTAGAGGAGAATAAGACATGTTCAATCAATAGCTGCACGAAACATCCTCTGGAAAGGTCATTCAAAAAGCACGTCTGTGGAATTGACATCAATAGAGACATTACCCAAGACAACAGACAACAACACATGCTGTTTTTCGCTCCTAGACACTTACTTTTCGCTTCACTGGGATACAGACGAACCAGCGTTTTATACGAGCGAGGTTATTTCAAACACAATGAATCCCAGTTTTCGTATACAGACTAAACCCCACTGCATCGAATGGTTTGGTTATTCATTAAGTTTCATGGTGATTCGATTATGGGGAAAGCCATCGCTAGGACAATCCGATGGGGAGCGTGAAAACGAGTTCAAGCTAGTTACTGAATGGTATTTGGATTTAAACTTTCTTTCAAAAATAGGAAATTCGGCAAGTAAAAAAAAATGTAATGGTAGTTCCATGGCTACATATTCGCTAATACATAAACATCTAGTTTTCTGATCTGGTCTATTATACATTTTCGGATAATACGCTTATATTGGAATTAAATGATGGGATTTATTGTGCATCCGATGTTCAAAGTAAAAGACAGAGTAGTAGCTCAGAGAGTAAAGAAGAAGTTAGTCAAGCCAAGGCAAGTGATTTCAAATGAATGCTGTAAAGAAAAAACTAATAATGATTCATTAGACAAAACGATCTTATACCTATAATCATATTATCAAGTAAAAAAACACAGAATAGAAAAAAGGATTGAGATTAATGTTTATATAGACTGAATACATTAAAAGATTGTATATTTGACACCAAAAGATCTTCAGAGGAAGTTCAGCATGAAATTCAAGCAACATTAAACAAAAGACAAGATGGACTAAGAATGAATCGACTCATAAGTCAGCATAAGCATAAATTATTGGAGATAGAAGCGAAAATTATCCGACAAAAGAAAATAAATTGTGACCTAATAAAAAGAATGAATAACCTAAGAGAGAGAATAGACCATCGTAAACATGAAATAGATGAATCTATGATCAGATGCAGATCAGGATTAGAAAACTTGGAAGATAATGATTTAATACTAGAGAATAATATAAAGATGAGGCATGCTATGTTCCATGCTTTAAATAAAAGAAGAAAAGAACTGATTGCAGACTTATTCAACATATACCCAATAGAGCAGGTAATTATAGAAAAGCGTATATATATTCATTGTTTTTTTTTGATATCAAAATAAGTCCTATGATGATTCTCAACAGTTTTATATCCGTGGTGTTGGCTTACCTAATACCAATCATGGTCGAAATGATGAATCTATTGCCACTGCTTTAGGTTTTACTGCTCATTTAGTATCCATGCTTGCATTTTATTTGGAAATTCCTCTAAGATACCCCACAAAGCCAATGGGATCAAGAGCAACCATCAAGGACTTGATATCTCTTATATCTGGCTCTAGAGAGTAAGTAGATTGACATGTATTAACCATAAACTCACATCCTATTTTAGATTTCCACTCTATATGAAAGGTGTGGATCAATATCGATATGAGTTTGGTGTGTTTTTGTTAAACAAGAATATTGAACAGGTAAACTTTCTCTTTAATATTGTAAGGGTTGCTCATTTTTTTTTTAATATAGCTTATGAACGCGTATGGACTTATTGTCATGGACTTGAGACACACTTTACCCAACATTCATTACTTTATACAAGCAATATTAACCACCTCTGTCAACTGTAGTCCTAGTCCAATGTCAGTTTTGTCCATATCATCATTTGCGAATGGTGGTGGGCCAAGTCTAAAGCATGAACCAGCAGAACAGGACTCAGATCATCAAGACTGTCATCATCTGTTAACCTTACAGCCCAAACAGACAAACGTTGTTGTCTCTTCACTTTCACCTTCATCATCCTCAAGCTCAATACGTACCAACACGTATCCGATCAAATCGTCCAATCGATATTCGTCAACTAATCTCTTAAATACACCACAGCCTATGACAGCGACATCCGTATTGGACGCTGTGACAGCTTCATCTTGTTATCATATTGAATCATAGCGGCTTATAAAATAAATTACAAGGGGCGACACGCTTTATGTGTGTGTTTGTTCCCTTTTACTCTCATTCAAAATGGTCAATATCGGCATTGTAGGCATTGGACTTGTTGGTTCAGAATTAGTCTCACAGATCTTGAAGTCTTCATACAAAAATGCTTTTAAAGTAGTTGCTCTATCTACTTCAGAAAAAATGATGTTGTCAGACTCAGACTACAAGTCTTTATCACTCGATCAGGTTGAAAACATTCGCTCTACTGTCATACAGTCCGGCAAGCCCGTCAACCTTGGCGAATTCGCAACCTATCTTTCTGGATCTAAGCAGCACTCAGTCATCATTGACTGTACTGCTTCAGAGGAAGTTGCCAAGCTTTATCCTTCTTGGCTTCGAGCTGGTCTAAGTGTCGTGACTCCCAACAAAAAAGGATTCTCTAGCTCACTGGATCTTTTCAAAGAAATCCAAGAACTCGCTGTCAATACCAACAAAAAGGGCAAGGAAGCCAAGGTGCCTTTGGTCTATCACGAGGCAACTGTTGGCGCTGGTTTACCCATCTTGTCTACTTTAACCGATCTTGTCAAAACTGGTGATGAAATCATCAGCATCGAAGGTATCTTCTCTGGTACCTTAAGCTATCTTTTCAACAATTACTCTAGCTTGACCAATCCTACCTCAAAATCATTCTCTGAGATTGTCAGTGTTGCCAAGGGACTCGGATACACCGAACCTGATCCAAGAGATGATTTAAACGGTATGGATGTAGGTCGTAAGGTAAGTTATTGCCAATATACACTTTGTAATCTCTAACTCCTCCCAAAAAAAGGTTGTCATCTGTGGTCGATTGGCTGGACTTGATTTGGATCTTTCTACTCTTCCTGTTGAAAATATTGTTCCTGAAGAGCTACGAGCTGTTCCAACCGCCCAAGAATTTATGAGCAAGTTGCCCGAATATGATGATCATTTTGCTAAATTGAACCAAGAAGCATTATCTAATAATCAAGTGCTTCGATATGTTGGTACTGTTGATGTCAAGGGTGGAAAGAGCGGTGTTCAATTGATCAAGTAAATGATTTTACATTATTTAATATACATATACTGACTATGTCCAATAGATGTCCTTCTACACATCCTTTTGCTTCCCTTCAGGGCAGTGATAATATTATCAAGTTTACAACAAAGTATTTCCCTAGCGGTATTGTCATTCAGGTAACTTTTATTATTTAAATCTGTATATAAATTTACAAACAGCGCACTCACTCCCATTTTCCAATTCTCATTCTCTAGGGTTCTGGTGCAGGAGCAGCCGTGACAGCTTATGGTATTTTCACTGATCTCATAAGAATTCAGGAACGTGTTGAGGGATTTTAAAGGATGATACAACTTGATTTTGACTGATCCGAAGATTTGGATTTCACTATTTTTTTTGATGTTTAATAAAGAAAGTGTCACTATGATATCATTTCCTATACTAACCTGAAAGTGCAATCTTGGCTGCTTGTTCAAAACACTCCTTGACTCCACGGTTGCGCTTTGCAGAGCATTCAAGATACCTCACCGCATTAATATTCTTGGCCATCTCTAATCCCTAATGTCATACGTTTATATCAATCCGAGGGTGACATTCTGTCTATTTCCTAACCTCTTCATATGTTATACAGTTTGGCCGCTCATCTCTCAAATCGCATTTTAAGGCTACCAACGCAATCTTTGCGTAAGGACTATGATCAGTTACTTCCTCTAGCCATTTTTCTCGAATATTTTCAAATGAATCCCTATTTTCAACTGAAAAGCATAGCAAGTAGACATGAGTGTCTGCATAAGATAATAGCCGTATCCGGTCAAATTCTTCTTGTCCTGCTGTATCCCACAAGGATAATTCTACTGTCTGATCATTTACAACGACTTCTTTTACATAGTTTTCAAATACTGTAGGTTCATATGCCTAAGAAAAAATAAGTACATGATTATCTCCTTCCTAAAGGGGAACATCCTTTTTTGTACCTGAGGAAAATAGCCTCTAGTGAAGACACTGAGCAAAGATGTCTTTCCACAAGCACCATCGCCACAAACAACTAATTTTCTACTGACAGTTCCCTTTTCTTCTTGTGGTTTACCGCAACAAAAGCTCATTTATGGATAAATGAAAAAGAAGAGAGAATAAAGAAAAATAAAAAAGAGGTTAAAAATAAAACAATAGCATGCTTTTGTGTTCCCGAAATGAGTAGATTTTTGTAAGCAAATATAATATCCGACATACTACTGCCTTTAAATATAAAGGAGAACAGTTATGATACTTTGAAGATAAGACAACACATCGGGCCGATGAGTTTTGTTGTTGTCAAATCTCTAAAGAGGACAATAGATGGCTGCTCATATCTGAATATTTACAAACTTAAAAGAGATGTATCATAGAACTGTTTTTTGATGCTTAATAATGGAATGATGCTTGTTTTCATTGAGCAATCCCTTTTTTGCGGATAGATAAAAGGCATGGCTTCTTTAAAATAATCATTTTTCTTCAAGTGCTGTCGCACAAGTCTTGGCATCTTCTTGGGATGTGCACTCTTTCAATGCCCCACTCCGCCAGTTAGAAAATAGCAGGATTTCAAAAATAGTAGTCGTGTTTGCCCAGATGTCTCTACATGCAATGACACATCAAATATTATATCGAAAATGAACAATTCATTATTTTTACAAGATGAATAGGGTCAAATTGTTGACAGACATGGTTTCCCGCTGTTGCTGAAGCAATGTGTGCTCGTCAGACTGCTAGTTATCATACCGAATACTTGCACTCTTTGGCAAGCGAGCGTTATCGTGAGCTTGTTGTTATGCCAACTGACACTGCTGCTCACTGTGAAAGAAAGGATTCCTAAGCTTGTGTATATCACATACACTGACGATGATAGGCTAGATTTTTAAAATTGATGCTTGAAAAGGTCTTTTAAGTATGTCAGCTTCTGCAAAGATGGGCGTTACAGTACGAAAAGGGCTCTGAAAGCCATCTTTATATAATGTAAAGACAGTGACCGCTTGCGTATCCTTAATGAAGGGCATAAAAAAATTATTTTAGAATATGTTGGTGAATGTCCATGGATTGCCCTAGAACAGTGGATGAACGGCTGTTTCAAGTATTCGAGAAAGCAAAGCGCCATTTGACAAGATGATTTTCTATTGTTTAAAAAAAATGTGCTGTATACTCTAATTTCCCAGTTATGTTGTCAGACATCTCTTTACATTCAGTGTAATGAACGAATAGTTGCTTAGATAATAGTGTTTCTACATTATCGTACCATTCAAATTAAGTCTCTACATATATCAAAAACTATAAGCAAACTAAAAGAAAAGGAAAAGGTGCGATGATATAATTCAAAGGAGATCATCAATACTTGGTAAACAGCAGCCATTGAATAAAGCAACATAACTTATGCTCGAAATCATTTGATATTTGCAATATTTTATCTATTGATATTAACTTATTGTTGCTTATTCTTGCTTGGCATCTCCAGTTTACGTCAAATGTGACCTTGGTCTTTGTGAGACTGTGGGTAATGTTGGTACAGCAGTTGGTGGAACTGTTAGTCAAGCTGCTCAGGACGTTGGTCAAGGTGTTGGGGATATTGTTGGCCGTGGTGTACGTGATGATGCTCCTTGGAATAGTGTTGATGACGCTCAAGATACTGCAGATGCTACTAATAACCTTGGTGACTCCTTATCCAAGTGAGTACCTTCCAGCAATACTGATAGTCCAGATATCAGATCACCCGTTCGCAAGTGATTTTCAGAATTTAAAAGTTAATTTAAGTTTTACTTTTTTAAAAATAAAATCAGATACAGTTCTTAGGCTCAATTGGTATTGTTATTCATATAAAGTATAAATAGCGAATAAATATAATGTAGCAGGTACAATCATAAGCAGGATCACATACTTCAGGCGATGTTAGTCACCAGTCGTTTATTTATTGCTTTGAACTTGACAACATATAATAATAAATAAGATGATCTTCATCTTCTTGAGAGACTGGAAAACAAAGCAAACCAAGAGGAGGAACAAATGAGGCCACTTACTCATACAGTGTGGTCAACACTTTATGTATTCGATGAACAACAAAATAAAAACCACACATAAACAGAAGTTTATAACACATGTCTGATAAGTTGTAAGAAGATAGTTTTTAGAAAAAGACTGACTTTGGCTTCTTTTTTTTTTCTTTGGATCAAGAATAAGACCAGCTTTTCCCTATCTAGCCCTAAGGCGTGTTATAGTATGAGCAATTTTTGTAAAAAAAAAAAAACTGATGTGTAGTATTGTAGAGTATAATCGAAATTAACCCAGTGTTAACTGAGAATAGCTTGGTGCTTGCTAAACTTTGGTCCCATATACTCTCTCACTTGTTCCTCTCTTGTCTCTTGCTTGTTCCTTTTCTTGCCCTTTCCGGGCTGGTGGTAACCAGCCCAATCCAGGATACACTTCGGGTAAGATCTTCATAATTTCTTTATATGTTTACTCACTTTTCTTGCTTCTCTTTTTCTTTCTTATAAATTCTCTTCTTTATAATGTAAGTACTTAAATAACTAATTTACTAAACAGTTCTTTTATATTTCATTCTTTTGTCTCTGATGGGCTCTCTTTTACTGTTATTTGTTGTCTTAAATTATCATTTTTCTATCAGTGTGCACGTAATTTCTGAATAAAGTGTAGAAAAGTTCCATTTGCCCAGTAACAGCTTACAATTCAGTGGCAAAGATAAAGTATTTTATTATTGATATAGATGCTAACCAATCGCCTTGTGAAAAAAGCCCAGAGCAAACATTCTTTGAGAGTGGACCATTATTAAAGACATTCAAATAGCTTTTGAAGGTTGAGTGAAAATGATAACTAGAGTGAGCTTTAATCAGCTCTAAGCCAAAATCCATAGTAACAGGTCGATGCCAAAAGTTAAGCATACTTTTGATGACTTTTTGTGTATGTCAGCAACCTCTTCCTTTATGCGTCCGATGCCAGGACAGCGGATGTAGAAATTTTTGGTCAACCTATAAAGTGACTGGACACACCTTTTCAAGTTTTCTTTTGTTCGATCAACAACTCATGTCTACAGCAAAATCAAAGCAAATAAATTCAACTTTATTAGCACATGTCAATGCAAATGAAACATTAGGACCCCGAGGACGTGATCTCGAAGGGGTTGATTCCCCTGCAGGCGCTCCCTCTAAACGTAGAAAGATTCGCTCTCGCTCAAAAATCGAGATCAACAACGATCAGAATGAAATACAGTCTGAAGAAGAAGACGATTATGAAAGTGATCACATGTCTGACATAATTCCAGCTGATCTCGATGGATTTCATTCAGCTTGGCAAAAGACGATAAATCATGTTGTTAAAGCCATCGTCTCCATTCGTTTTTGTCAAGTAGCTCCCTTTGATACGGACGGTAAAGAAAAAAAAAACACGATTGATAAAGTAAAATGATACTCATATCCGCACGCGTGTGTGTGTGCTTTTAGATGCAATTGTTTCGGAAGCAACAGGATTCATTGTTGATGCTGAAAACGGAATAATCTTGACAAACCGTCATGTTGCCTGTGCTGGTCCTTTCTTTGGTCAGGCTATTTGTCACAATCACGAAGAGATTGATGTGCACACGGTCTATCGAGATCCAATTCATGACTTTGGATTCTTAAAGTAAGTTTAAAAATGTAAAAAGAAGGGAATAATATTGATTGTCAAAAAGGTTTGATCCAAAGCAAATCAAATATATGCCTGTGCAACAAGTTGAGCTTCGACCTGATTTGGCAAAGATCGGCCTGGATATTCGTGTTGTTGGGTAAAATAGATGCATTACGTTACTAGAGATTTTTTGTACTAACATATATACACAAGTAATGATGCAGGTGAAAAGTTGAGTATTTTGGCAGGCTCTATTTCTCGCTTGGATCGTAATACACCAGAATACGGAGATTTGACTTATAACGACTTTAATACTTTTTACATGTGGGTAAAAACAATTAAAAAGTCTGCGAGCTTAAACTAATGTATATATACTAGTCAAGCAGCTGCTAGCTCATCTGGAGGCAGTTCAGGTTCGCCAGTCATTGACATTGAGGGAAACGCAGTTGCACTCCAGGCTGGTGGTGCTGAGAGAGCATCAACAGATTTCTTTTTGCCTTTGGATAGAGTTAAGCGCGCACTCGAGTACATTCAACGAGATGAAGAAGTACCTAGAGGTGACATTCAAACTGTATTCAGGTAACAAAAAGTGAAATTATTCAAAAAGTGTTGCTGATTCACATCATTTATAGATATGGTCCATTTGATGAGGCAAGGAAACTAGGGCTGAGAGCAGAGACAGAAAAAAAGCTTCGAGTGTCGTTTCCTGAAGAAATTGGTGTCTTGATTGTTCATTCTGTAGTGCCTGAAGGGCCAGCAGATAATTTACTAGAAGAAGGGGATATACTTATCACTATAAATGGGAAATATATTACAAAGTTCGTTCCCTTTGAAGAAGTATTGGATTCGAATATTGGTAAAGAAGTTGTCATTGGTATCGAACGTGGTGGAGAGTCAATGGAGTTCAAGATTTCTGTATGCAACCTTCATGAGATGTAAGTATCATGCTGAGTACACTATGTGCAGGTCATTTTTTTTAAAAAAAAAACATTAGTACACCTGATCGTTACGTTGAAATCGGTGGGGCTGTATTGCATGAACTCTCTTACCAACTGGCTGCATACTACAACGTGCCTTGTAAAGGTGTCTTTGTTGCCAGCTGTGCTGGGAGTAAGTAAAACAATAGATAGTTATATGCATACTGATTGCTCCTATTATAGTGTTCCGCCTAGATGGTGACGATGGCTGGATTATTAAATCTATCGATGATAAAGAAACGCCTAATCTCGATGCATTTATCCAAGTCATGAAGAATATTCCTGACTATTCTCGTGTTCCTTGTGTTTACTATTCTATTGGTGATGTGCACACTATCCTTGGCAGTATCATTTACATAGACAAGCATTGGGGATCATTTAGATTAGCTGTACGCAACGACAAGACAGGACTCTGGGACTATACAGATTTAGGGAATGACTTACCACCCGTTCCATCTGCGCCCAAGACAAAACGTATTACAGAGCTTCATAGCAGCATTGGTCCTGCCAAGAGCTTGATTCGTTGTTTGGTGAAAGTGAGCTTTCGTACACCTTGTCGAATTGACGGATTCCCCTATAGTCATAAACAAGGGTCTGGTATAATCCTTGACAAGGAACAGGGACTTGTTGTGGTCAGCTGTGGTATTATACCAAATTCCTTGGGCGATGTGACGGTGACAGTGGCTGACTCCATCGTCATCCCTGCCAAAGTGCTCGTAAGTTGGTATACCAAAAGAAGATATTTATATACTGATATAAACTATAGTTTTTGCATCCAATGCACAATTACTGCATTATACAATATGATCCAGAAGCTTTAGGTGACACTAACGTCATGAGTGCACCCATAAGTGATAAAAAACTATCTCAGGGAGATAGAGCGACACTCGTTGCATTAAGTTATAACCGCAGACCTGTATTTGTGAACACGATGGTTACAGAAATATGCTGTGACATGATTACGCCTAGTTCGGTATGTCAATAGTTTCCTTTTCTGACAGTCGTCCGAGCTAACCGTGTTATACAGATACCTAAATATCGCGCAACAAATTTAGAGCTTTTTACTTTGGAGTCAAGTCTATCAGGACAGTGCCCTGGAGGTTTACTAGCAGATGAAGACGGACGAGTGCAAGGACTATGGTTAAACTTTTTAGGAGATAATGGTCACGGAAGAGATATAGAATATTTTTTGGGCATCCATGTCTCCATCATTTTACCTATCCTCAGACGTCTACGTCAAGGTGAACAAAGCCTAAGTCTGCGTACACTGAACATAGAATTTACGGTGCCCCACATGTCCAGTCTTTATGCCTGGGGATTATCTGAAGAATGGATAGAGAGGGCAGAGGAGGCTAGTCCGAACAAACCACCTCAGTTTTTTATGGTCAAGAGTACAATGGCCAATACGGAAAGTGCCAAACTATTCAAGGAGTTAGATGTGCTTTTGGCTATTAATGGAAAAGTTGTAACACATATGGACGATTTTGACATACAATATGAAGCAAATGAACTAGAGTTAACCATTTTAAGAGAAAAGAAAGAAATGACAATCAAGGTGAACACAGGGCTTATGTCTGGTGATGGTACCAGCCGAATTGTGCTTTGGTCAGGCGCTGTATTGCAAGGTAAGAACTGAAAAGATGTGTATCTAACATAACAATTGATGAAATATGTGTATGTAGAACCTCATTATGCCGTACTTCAACAAAGCAAGTCCCTACCTTCGCAGATTTACGTAACCAATATTTCTCATGGTTCACCTGCCTCCATGTATGGCCTTCAGCCAACAATGTGGATCACGCATATTCAAGGAAAGAAGGTAGATAATTTGGATGATTTTGTTAGAGAAGTGAAAGATATTCCAGATAAAAGCTATGTTCGAGTGAGATGTGTTGATTTTGATAATATCCCAGTCGTGATTTCAGTGAAAATATTGAATCATTATTTCCCTCTCACCATCATGAACAGGGATTTGAAGGCTACCTGTGGTTGGTCCAAACAAGACATTTGTTAAAGGTTGCATAACTGTACATCATTTTCATATGTTAAATTAAAATATATATGCCCGAATACTCGTGTAAGCTTGTGACACACACACACATAGAAAATAAACAATCAAAGTTTTGTAGAAAAAGGATATAAATTGCCACACTGCCATCTGTTCTCTCTCTCTCTTTTTTTTTTCTTTTTTCTTTTTCTTTCTTTATAATAAAAAGGATGGACAACAAATCTGAAGCAAATCAACCAAAGATACGTATCAAAAAGCCAGGTATTATTTCCATCCTACTTGGCGCGATCTTGGCTATGTCCATCATGATTATCATGGTGATTGAGGTAGATGGTCGAAGCAAGATGATAAAATCCCCTGAACAATGGTACGAGTTAATGAAGAAGCATCCATATGAACGTAAAGAAACGGATTTACGTTCTCCATGTCCTATGCTCAATACACTGGCTAACCATGGATTCCTTCCCCGCGATGGGCGTAAGATGACACCAAAGGAGTTATACGAAGCAATGATGCTCGTAGGACTTCATCCGTCAAGCTCAGTCGCATTTTTACTCTTCTTATACATTACGTATAATCCACCTAATCCAAACCGACCATTTCTCTCTCAGTTCACGCCTGCACCCTCCATTGACTTCCACAGGCTGACGTTGAGTAACCTGCTCGAACACGATGTCTCACTGAGTCGACACGATCTTTCTTTGCCTCCCTTTAATACGACTGTTCCTGTTCCTGAATACGTTGAACGCATGGTTCGCCTGGCCAAATTTAACAACACCGGTACAGAACACGAAGATATTTTTACTCGGAAGAATCAATATGACGCAAGAAGGTTAAGATGGCTGGAAACTGTTAGAGATAACGATGCCTATTTTTATGGCTTATTCCCACAGGTAAGAAATGAGTGACAGCTTTCAAACGGTTGATTTATCCCTTTTTTTTTAGCTTGCTTCCGGAGTTGAATGTAGTTTGTTGATGGACGTCATAGGCCGAAACGGTCAGTTACGTGTAGATCATCTTGAATCCATTTTGTTACATGAACGATTCCCCGATGACTGGTATCCTCGTACGTCTCCATATACCATAAGGGAGCTTGTTTTCAAGCCACTTGAATGTTGGTGGGGTCTTTATCATAGTCAAGTGTCGTTAAGTTTGTTAGATGAATTAAAATAAATATGATTTTATTGGAAATACATTTAAAAAATAATAAAAATATGTGAATATAAATATTGAATGGCTTAGTGAACACGAAGAGCTTTTCCTTTTAATGAATTATTATTATTATTACTGCTTGTCTTGGCAGCAATAGCCTGTTGCTTTTTACTGGGTGATGATGATCTATCTTTTGTATCCACTACTCTTTGTTTATGAGCCAACGTGGGCAAATTACTTTCAGCCGTTGATTCTCTTGTCTTGTAAGATTGTCTTCTCGCTGTACTGATACCCATCATCAATCTAGCTGTACGGCTTTCTCCAGGCTTTTTGTTACGATAAATAGATGCTTTAATGGGTATAGATGAAGTACTGTTCACGTTGATTTTTGGTTTTCTGATGTTCGTTTTAACTTCTACAGATGGTAATTTGGGAGAAGACATGAGTCTGGTAGTGGATGCAGATATTGGTATCGCTCTAGGAACAGATGGTGATGATTTAGCAGATGGGGATGGTATAGTTCTATTAGATGAAGGGGGTGATTTTCTGGATGGTATAGTATTAATAGTTGTATTGCTGCTATTGCTGCTATTACTGTTTGATTTTGATGTAGGTGATGTGGGTTTCTTTTCTTTGGGTTTTTTAACTTTTTCTTCAATAACTGGCGTGACACATAACATAGGAAGTCTTGAACCTTGGCTACGATTAGCATTAGATAGCGACTGTCTCTTGAGATGAACACTGAGAATCCTTTCTTGAACAGGCACAGAGGCCGAAAGGGTTTTATCAACAGAAAATGCACGAATTGGAATTCTACATTTGGCAGGTGTTGGTGGGGCCTGCTTTCGTTTCTTGCTTTGTTGAAGTGGAGTAGCTGGGAAGAGTAGTTCGGGTTCGTAACTGGAAAGGAATGGGTGCTCGAGTATTTGATTAGCAGAGTATCTTGTATGTGGATCAGGGTCCAGACAGTGATCAAGCAAGTCGACTAGTTGAGAGGGTAAATTGGGTGGATAGACAGGCCTTTGGACTTGAAGGATCCTTTGTTTGATCTATATATTTATATGGTCTTAATGCTTTTGTATATTGACCTATTTAGGGTGTTTACCTCTTCTTCTTCTAAGCCTTCATCTTCATAAGGTGCTTTACCACCATTTAATACTTCTAGTATCACAATACCCAAAGCCCAGATATCGATTTTATAATTGACAATTTTTTGCTGCACAAGTTCAGGTGACCAAAATAATACTACACCCGCTTCTTCTATACTTGAATCGGCTGCAGGTGATATGGATACTACACCAAAGTCGCCTAAAATTAAAATAAGGTGAGCAATAGATTGAGAGTGAATTTGTATCCATGTTTACCAATGACGATGCTGTTGTCTTGTTGATTTAAAAAAATGTTATCGCATTTTATATCTCGGTGTATGTATCCGTATTCATGTAATTTTGCTAGACCAGATGCAATCTATTATAGCGTTCATCAGCATGGGATCTTTAGTGTTAAAGTATACTTACAGAACGAATAATATACACAAGTTGGCCTACAGTAAGATGATGTTCAAAGACATATTGCTGTAATGAACCACCGGTACAAAGAGGCATGATTAAATAAACAAATTCTTGGTGTAGATAGACGGCTAATAGTTCTAGTATGTTTGGATGGACACACTTTGTCATTGAATATATTTCATTTTCAACAAGCTCTTTAGGCATAACAAACATATTTTCATATTGACTATCTTCTTCAACAAGGTACTTTTTAATGGCTACTTCTTTGTTGGTAGATAGCTCTCTACATTTATAAACCCCTCCTTGAGCACTGAACCATGTTGGTTGTGTATTTAATCCTTCAAAATATGAGTTTGGATCATCTGAATAAATAGGTACTCCATTCACTTGTTGCATATTATCTTTAAAAGGAGAAGGTGCTGGATATTAAAAAGAGAGAAAGAAAAAAAAAAAAAAAACGTGCATTCGAGTTTATGAGATACAAAGTAATAAAAATTACAAAGGCCGTTATTTCATAGTGGCTTATTGTTTATGAATCTCACTACTTATCTTCTCGTTCTATCTTTGCTTCCCCCTCCCCTTTATTAATGCACTTTCTCCCTTTATAAAATTTCCACAAACTTCATGATGCAACCAAAAAAAAAAAGAGATGTTCTTAAATGGTAAGCTTGCATCTAAACCCTTCTTTTTTTTGTAAGAAAACAGAAAGGAGGCTTCAAAAGGTGTCAGCCTTTTTTTTTTTTATTTTGTGTACAAACATAACGAATACAGGTTTCAAGCCTACAAAATATGGTTGCCTAAGCGTATCTAGATTACGCTGCTCTTTTTTTTTTTTATTAAAATAGTCCACTGCTGAAAGCAAAGAGATATGCTATTATTTTCTCTTGGTTCTTGATCTAGAACGATATAACTGTACCTTTTGTCTAAATCATACTTTATATCTCACTTTGTTGTCATAAAGCGTTGTTCTCGTACAACCTGTTTTCAGAAAACCGTTCTGTTTGTCTTTATAGACTATATGGAATAAAGAGCCTCTTCTTTGCTCATATGACTTTATTTATCTATGAAGTGAATGTATTTAACTTTAATTTAATTACTGTTATGATTGCAGAGAAGTACTGAGAGCCGACAAAGTAAAGTTTAATAAAGTGTTACGAAACAAACGATAAAGGATGGTAAATATTTGTCGAGAAAACCACGAACCTTGAGCCAAGATATCACTGGCAGAAACATCTGTGGACAAAGCAACAGTGGAATCGACTGCACGAGTTTTGAGTGGACGTCCACTCGTCTTGACCAAACGAAGGAAAGTTTGAATATGCTTACTTGCGGCCTCAACACCAAAAGAAAGCGGATCAGATACGATGATTGGATGACGTTGTGTACCGGGTGTAGAAGGAGGAAAGCTTGGGAAGCAGTATGCTTTTTTTAAGATCTGGAGCTTCTTGGGACGTCATTAACCGCTTGATCTTGCCTTCGTTCAAGCGGACAATTGCTGGCTGCACATGATCGAGCAACATGAGTCGATTGCTATCATTTTCAAAACATGAGTTTTTTTTTTTACTGCTTCGATATGCTCCTGAACCAAAGTGTTAAGCACGTTCGTTGTTTCTTCTAAAGAAACTTATATGATTCTATAAATGAGTCATTTTTCTTAATGTAAAGTAACAATCAGAGATATATACCATAGGAGTGAGCATCGTCTAATGTTGGATCGCAAGGAAGTAGCAAGAGATTGACCAAGAAATGGTTTTGCTTTCTCGTCAGTCCAGCTTTAGTAAAGGCCCCAGTTAGTATGCTTTCTGGACAGTATTGCTGAATTGCTCTTCATATTCTGCTTCGTAGCAAAAAAGAATAGTAGTAACTACATTGTCATATTCAGGGATGGCGTGAGTGGTGAGATTGTTGTTAATATCAGTGATACGTATTGTTACTAAATGGCTTTAATAGAATATTTATATAGCATACCTGTCTTGGACCGTTTGCATGTAGCAATATCGAGCAGCTATACTTCTTCCATTATACAAAGTAATTTAAAATAACCTAGTCAATTTATGTAATCTTATTTTATTTTGAAGATATTTTTTTACAACTTACACAAAACGTGAACTTGTACATCTTTCGAGTCCTTTTGGGGTTCCTTCGAGGTCTTAGGAAAAGTATAGACCAATCATTTAATCCTAGAACCATTGGTGAGTTTATATATTACCTTTTATGTTGTGTCATCTTACAGTAATCTATTAGCAACCAAAACTGCTAAAAGTATCGAGCTCTACAAAGAATACAAGGATACCAATATTGGACTAGAAGGGTTTGAATCACAATACAAGTATATTATAAAAAAGGCTTCTGAATGCGACTTATTAATTATCTCATCTAGCAAAATACTTGGCATATATAAAGACGTATTTAGCTATGATACATTCAAGTCAATTTCTGATTATATATATGCAAAAAACAACTCTGCGAAACTTGTATACTTTAGTGCAGAGCTACTAAAAGAAGAAATATCAAAGCCAGAATCAAAGAGCAAGACTTGGCATGTTATGCCTAGACCAAGCAATAGCGTGCGCAAGCCATATATGAGTATTATCAAAAATTATTAACGATAATAACCATTGATAGTGTTTGTGCCGCTAAGCGGTGTTCATGCAATGCATGGTGTCCTCTAGAGAGGCTTCAACGCTGGCCTAAAAATTCCCCAACAAGTGTATATTGAGGAGTATAGCTTTGAAGGCCACTACGGAGATGTTGTTTGGAAAAATAACTTGTGGAAAACATTGTTCAACTTAAATCACATAGAGAAGAAGAAAAGCAACGTCAGCCAAGGTATGTTTATATTGTTAATTTAATAGTAACTTATTCATCATTCATAATTATAAATCTATTAAAGGAAGTCAATCATATCCCAGGTTGGGCTACGGATGGAAGACAAATGAACATAGGTGATAATCTTGTTCATAAAGAAGTCCATAGGTAATGAAAAAACCTTTTCATACACTTCAAATATTGATCAATGATTCAAACAGAGCAAGTTCCACAAGACGATAGCGAAATGAACTTTATAAAAAGAAGAATCAACCTGAGCAATTGGAACAAGGGGCTATATCTCTTGAAGAAAGAGCTCACAGGGATAGTCATGACCGACAAAATAATCGGCCTAGATCCAGGCATGAACATTATTTTGAAAATATCAATACTTACAATATACATAGGCCTACGGGATATATTTGTTGCAATGGATTGTTCAGCTGAACAAATGCCAGATAAGAAAACAATTAAAGAAAACACAACAAAGTTTCTAATGCTGAATACAAGTGAGTATACGCTAGTTTATATAATCTTCTGTTTAATGCAAAAAAAACCTTTTACTAACACTTCGTTAGGATGTGCTCGGGCTTTGAGTGGGCGAGAAAGGTAGAGTTAAAGAACAGAGAGGCGGCTGGTATACAGCAGGTATACGATGAGATTCCAGTAGTAGATGCTGCAAATAGCAGTGAGATATTGACGTACTTGAGAATCATCGGGAGAAACAGAAAAAAGTAAGTAGTTGAGTGACCTTGTTTATCATACTTATCGTTTTGTATCTTGTAGAATTTTTGATTTTATGAAAAGCTATCGTCATCATGAGACGAAGGCATACCTTGTTCAAAACAGACAAATCACAGACAACCGTATGTGTGATCTTGTATTGGGTCAAACTGCCGCTGGTGCTCCTTATACCCTTGCCCACAGAACAAATTCAAAGAAAAGAAAAAACAAATGGAATAGTTGCAAAAGAGGCAAAACGAACGGTAATCGCCTATAGCGATGCAGGCTTGACTGGAACAAAAGCAGGGTACACCCCATCCCTGTGAAGGTAGAGTAGTATAACAACTTTATCAGTTTATTGAATAGACTAATGTTCATTTTATATACAGAGAGTTCAAAGGGTTTTGACACAAGGGCATTAGTAATTCCTGTTGATAAGTTCAGGACAAGTGTGACCTGTTCCAAATGTCACCGGCGCCTCGAGAACAAATACGAAAGACAAAAGCTTGTTTGCAAACATAAGTAAGCAGATCATTGTATTTGTAACATTAAAAGAAAGTTCGTCTGAAAGGGGAGAAAAATGCTACTCTACGATGTTTGGACGGTAAGAAGAGGATTGTTGGTCGAACATCGGATTGCTCACAAAGAGAACCCAACAGTAAGTAAAATTACGCATGAAGTCATATACTAGGGCTATTACTGAACTTTATCTGAAGGCTATCCTCCGGTCATTTATCAGTTGAAGCACTGCAAATTGTGTCCAGCTGCAAATGATAAGAGTATTAGTTTTAATGAGTAATAATAGGTATGGCGAAGAGATATAAATGCTGCTTTGAATATACACTCCATCCTGATGTCTTATGTAGAGTCAAACTATAGTATTCTATCAAGAAATCCCTCACTAAAAAAAGAATCAACCTCTGGTGGTGATCAAGCCACTTCATACCCACTTTGATTGGCCCTATGGATCCTACGTCATCACTTCGGTGATGACTTACGTGTATCCTAAAGTGTTCGTAATCATTTCAAAAGACACACAAATGCAGCGCGTTAAATTACACCCTTTTTTATTCGAAATAAATCATGTCTGAAGGAAGATTAGAAAAAATGGACAAGGACTATAGTCCTCAAGTCGATGCTCTCTTACCAGAAACCGAAGCTTTGACAAAAGTAAGTCCCCTTAGTCTATTATGTATACACTGAATAACCGCGCAATCTACATGTAGCAAGGCAAAATAAACGAAGCTCTTGAGAAATTACTATCATTAGAAAAGCAAGCTAGAAATGTAAATAGGTACAATTGCAAGCAAGATCTATTGTACTAACAGTACAATACACATTAGGCTGCTGATCAAGCATCTACAGGTCGTATTCTTGTGCAAGTGATCAAATTGTGCTTTGAAGTTAAAGATTGGAAACTCTTGAACGAGCAAATTGTTTTACTTTCAAAGAAGCACGGTCAACTTAAAGCTGTATGTAAACAGGCTGTAAAGAATGAACACCACTAATTTTAAAATGTAGGCTACAACTAAAATGGTCCAAGAAGCCATGACCTATCTTGATTCTACACCCAACATGGAAACAAAGCTCGAATTGATCAACACACTTCGTACTGTTACTGATGGAAAGGTAGGAAAATGAATGTAATGTATGTGCTCTTATGCAAACCTATGACTAGATTTATGTTGAAGTTGAACGCGCACGTATTACGCGACTTTTATCAAAGATTCGCGAAGATGAAGGAAATATCACGGAAGCAGCAGATATTCTTCAAGAACTTCAAGTCGAAACCTTTGGTTCTATGGACAAACGTGAAAAAGTTGACTTTATTCTGGAACAAATGAGGTTGTGCTTAGCCAAGCATGATTATGTCAGAACTCAGATTATCTCTAAAAAGATCAACACCAAGTTCTTCCAAGATAAGGAAGCAGAGGCAAGTCTTGATGACATTGATGAGATGGTTATCTAATAGTAACTTGTAGGATCTCAAGCTAAGATTCTATGAATTGATGATTCAGCACGCATTACACGAGGACCAGTACTTGAACGTTCACAAATACTATAAACAAATCTACGAGTCAGAATCAATTCAACAAGATGAGACAAAATGGAAGCATGCACTCGAGAATGCTGTCTTGTTTGTCATTTTAGCACCCTTTGATAACGAACAGTCTGATTTACTGCACCGATTATATCAAGACCCCAAGTTAGCACAGATTTCTCAATACCAAGAACTTGCTAAACTCTTTGTTACAACAGAGATCATGAGATGGGTCTCTATTGAACAAACATATGGCTCATTGCTTTCTCACTCTATAGCTTTCAATCGATCAACTGAAGAAGGACAAAAGAGATGGAAGGAATTCCATCATCGAGTGATCGAGCATAACATTCGAGTGATTGCAAAATACTATACAAGAATTACAACCAAGCGATTGACTCAGTTGCTTGACTTGAATGAAAAAGATACAGAAGAGTTTTTATCCAAGTTGGTTGTGACAAAGACAATTTACGCTCGCATTGATCGCATTGCTGGCATCATCAACTTTCAGCCCAAGAGAGATGCTAATCAGATACTGAATGATTGGTCAAGCGATATAAACTCATTATTAAACTTGATAGAAAAGACCTGCCATTTGATTTCTAAAGAGGTAAACTCCATTATATAATGACAGGGAATTATTTATTAATAGGATAAAAATAGGAAATGGTACACAGCATAGCTAAGGTTAAATAAGCCTATTATTTATCCCATCTAATGGGAATCTTAAAGAACTGATAAAGTGTCTTTTTATCATGAATAGATACTTCAGGTGTAGGCAAAATACCTCCTCTCAAGTTTGTCTAAATAAACAAGAAAAGTATTATTAAATGCCATGCTACGCTTTTGCAGGGACTTACTTGAATGGAAGGGTGAATATAGCGAGGAGCTTTTAATGCTTTATCTCTTTCTTGACGCATCTTTGAATACTCTTCTAAGCTCACATTTTCGTTAATCATCTTGTTTGATTTTTTATGTTGTTGCAATAATGTCATAAATTCATACTGAATGTGGAATATTAGAAAACATAAAATGATGTGTTGTTTTTTTAACTCACCGAACGATGTGAACCAGGGTAATCGTGGCCAACGTAGATCCTTGTATCATCTGGCCACTGGCTATACATTTTATGTATACTTTCATACATATCCTTGACACTTCCACCGGGGAAGTCACAGCGAGCAGTACCGATATCAGGCTACAATAAAGATGAATAAGACAAACATAAGGCCTCAGGGTCTTTTTATGTTTACCATAAACAGAGTGTCTCCTACAAAAGCAGCATCACCCAAGCGATAGGACATACAGGCAGGTGTATGTCCGGGCGTAGAAATAACACTACAGTGAATATCCTTACCCAGAGTCCACTGCATGCTGTCTGAGGTAAGCACGTCGAATTGCTCGCCTGTTGGACTTAATTCGTCCAAACCTAAGTTATATCGTTCACCAAAGGCCTTCTGTACTTTGGTCACATTGGCACCAATACAAACCTCAGGCTAAATAGAAAATAAAAGTCAATTATATAATATATATATATATAAACATATCGTGCTCATACTTTGGAAGGTAGCTTTTGTTTCAAATAAAATGCAGAAGATAAATGATCCTATACAGTGTTATTATGACTACAGCCCGTATTCATCTTTAACTTACAGCATGAACGTGAGTCTCAATAATCTTGGTTACATTTAGCTCATAACTCTCAATGAACCTCAAAAGATTATCTGCAGTTGCTGTGTGTACTTTGGAAGCAAATGGATCATAATCAAGAACAGGATCAATGATATAAGCTTCCTTGGTTGCTATAGAGACCATGAGTATTACACAAATCATACGATTTAACGTTGTGTGTTACCAAAGTCTGTCACGACATATTGAGCAGTTTCTGTTTCTTTTTCGAGTATCGTGTGAACCCAAGGGGAGTGGTTATTCATGAAGGATTGTACAGGGCCCTGCCATGCTTTAATTCCGCCTACCAAATTATAGCAATCCTTATATCCTAGTTTTTCTGCCATTAAAGCAGCCTCATCACTGCGGCGTCCTCCTCGACAATGAAAGATGATCTGTGACAAAAGTGTGAGTCAATCATCCATACATATCTTTAATTACGTACGGGCGTCTCTTTATTAAATTCACTCAATGCTCCTTTGAATAAATCGGCTGATAGACTAAAGGGAATGTTCAATGCACCCTTGATCTTGCCGTCTTCTTCAATTTCAGGTCGTTCTCGAACATCGACTAAAACCATGTCCGAATACAACGTCTTTTGATTCATCCACTCTGTCAGTTGACTGGATGTGATCTGTTTGACTGATCTTGATGTAGAATAAAAGCGATATGCAACAAAGGGCTGACTTTTGTGCAAGATGGATCGTAACATGTTTGTGTGTAGGGCAGTGAATAGAAAAGAAATGCTATGAAAATATAGAACAGGCATTTATTCTTTGTGGAATTTCTATTTTTCCACGATCCGGAGTACTAATTCTATCGCTTAAACGTTCTGGAGTTATGATTGCTTGTTCAGAACATTAGGGGTATGTTTTTCTCAATAGAACCTACTTGAATACAAAGTTTGAACAAGTATCTTGCTCCCAATCAGAAACCCAAGTTAGGAAAAGGTTACATGTAGAAAGCCCGAATCGAACAATATTACCTTTGTAAAGGTGCCTTACAATAAACGGCAACGGGTTTTGCTATTATAAATACAGTCTTTGATAATGCAGACGGTTTTAAAAAAGACTATTGTTCCTATAGCTGTACACAATTCATTCAACATTGACACACACACATCATATAATTACTTCTTTTTTTTTTTTATTAAAAATGATTGTTGAGTCTTAAGCACAAATGTACATTTATTCTAATAAACAGACTTGTTCTCCTATACAAAAGCGTTGGTTGGTATTAATCGTCTATGAATCCTTAAATTTCTTGGCTGCTGTCTCCATCCAAGGTTTGGGTGCTTGGGGTAATAAATCAGCCTAATTAACATTTTAGTTGATGGACAAGAGGATATTTAAATAAAAACTCTTACTTTAACGAGCAACTTTTCGACGGGCTCAGATGGTTGTGCTCCTACTGTTAACCAATACTTGGCACGTTCAAAGTTTAAAGTGATCATTTTGTTTCCTTCTCTGTCAGGAATTGGATTATATGTTCCAATCTTTTCAATAGGTTTGCTGTTACGAGCTGTTCGAGCATTGGCTACAACAATGTTGTAGAAAGGTAGATTACGGCGACCGTGGCGAGCAAGGCGAATGCGGACAACCATGGCTTGTTTGTTGAAGGATCAATCAGTCCCCAAGAGTCCTTCAAGTTTTTCTAAACCCTGTTGTAAAAAGCCGTCACACAAGTTCACAGGCACACCTGCCTCATCAAATAAAAATCATCCAAAGACTGAGCTATTTTGTAGGTGCAAATTCAGCCTTTCTAAAAGCGCATCTATTTACAGGTTGAACATGCTTCCGTGCTTTGAGTCTGGTGCGCCTGTTGGCGATGACGCAGTGTTGCTAGGTGCTAAGCTAACATATTTAGTACAACAAGTAACAAGGATAATGTTCAAAGCACTCTCGTTTTCTTTTTTTCAACTGGTTAATTTTTAATAAATCCATTAAAAACTGTTGGCTTTATCTCCCAGAAAGGCGTGAATCTGCCCAATGATTAAAATTACGTTTGTGGCCAAAGTAATCGTTTCAGGACTCTCATGTCTGGAACTGAACTGCTATCAAATATTCAGCGTTCTCTCTCGTCACAATCCATTAGAGAAATGAATTGTGCTGGTATACGCTTTTGTCACGCTTACAATGATCCTGTTTCGGACATTTTGCCAGATTCATCATTCAGTTTCGCTGGAAATAATTGACTTGCTTCACGGCGTTATCGACAGCCAAGCATATCGTGCTGTTTTACTGATGGGCAATCATTGTGACCCAGTTCTTGTATGATCAAATATTGCTCATGAAATCAAGGAACGTATGGGAGTAACAGTTGCGAAGAGAGAAACATGACCCAAAAGAGATTTTGATGAATGGTGGTTACACTAAAGAAGAGTTGCAGCAAGTCAGTATAATGCGGATATGAATGCGTAGATCTTCCATCATACTTCTCCAGAGCTTTATTCGATTGAGCATTTTTAGTCTGTGGTCAAAAGCAATATGCAAAAGAGAATAATAAAAGAAGAAAATCTAACTACAAGAATAACTGAAGCTTGTAACAATGTCTGCTTGAAAGGCCTTCAAGGGTTCTGTCGTTATTCAAAACTACAAATTTGTTTAATAAAAAGCCTTTGTAAAAGATTACACAGTTACGCCATAAAGTGATTATGCAATCTATTTGCGGAAAATGATGTATATATTACTAAGAATGAAGCGCGGCTGGGAGAGCGCTAAATACTTCCTCCATCTTTTCTTTTTTCACCAAGGTCACCATTTATATTCTGATGTTTGAATTATATATGAATAGTAAATTTATTTTTAAAATATGCGCCAAACGTTTCAAGCATGGGGAGTAGGGCGATTGTATAACGCGGTTAAACTCTTGACATATTCTCGGGCCTTTATTTATCTTGATCTCATTTAATTTCCCAAAAATAATCCTTTGTTTTTCTTGGTATCTTTCGGGGTATTAATCCTCTCTCTCCACTGAAAATGTTATTTAACACACGTGCCCAAGATGATTGGCTGATGAAGAGGATCAACAGTTTCCATAGTACCTTGTTTCTGACTTTTCCATATAAAGAATTAATAAAAATTTCATATTTTGAATACTTTATAACGCATATTTTTGCCCCTTTCTTCTTTTCAATTTATTAAATGGTCGTTTTCTTATATCACATCAAGAGAAGCTGTTATTGTTAGCATGGAAACCAGGGGAAGAATAAAAAGAGCGAGTGTACGAATCAAATGGAGTCAAGGTACCACACGTGGTGTCGTGTGAGGACCTAATCTATCCAATCACAAGCTATAAATATGTAATACAGAGCCTACGCTCTTTGAATATCTTTGAAAATATTTCCTTCTTTTTGAACTCCATTTACTTGTATATATAAAGGGCAATGTTCCTTTTTTCAAAAGAGATAAAAAGGGACGGTTTGATTTCCAATTAGTTTTTTTATATAATCCGGAAACTTCTTTATTGCTTGACCTCCTTCTTTTTCTCTTTATACATATAAAAAATGAAGTTTTCTCACTCACTGCAGTTCAATGCAGTTCCTGACTGGATTGATTCCTATGTTGCGTAAGAATACTCCTATTCTCTATATTTCTTCCCCTTTTTAACCATGTTTAATAATAGATACGATCAACTAAAAAAGATCATTTTTCAAATTGAAAAGGAAAAAGTCGATAACTTGAATCAGTCGGTTACTGATCAAGAAAAAGCAAGTTCTATCATCACTCATGGAGAAGACAAGTTCATGTCCCAATTAGATTTACAGCTTGAAAAAGTGTTCACCTTTTACTCTGAAAAGGAATCGGAATTATACAATCAGTTGGATGAACTCGCTCGAGCTCTGACTGAAGCATTGCCTACTCAAAACTTCCATGATGTCCCATACAATTCTCCGTTGACTGAGCTAGATTCCACTCATAACTTGGCTGTCAAAGAAGTAGTATCTGATAAAGAACTCCGCCGTAAAATGTCTGTCGAATCTCGCTTCAGTACTGAAAGTCATCATGATCGATATGTTGAGCAGCTAGTTGATCTTCGTACCCAACTGATATCTCTCTACGTTTCCTTGTCTGAGCTTGATTCTTATGTGGAACTCAATCGTATGGCCTTTGACAAGATTTTGAAGAAACATGACAAAGTTCTCGACGGAAACTTAAGAAGTCAGTATTTGAAGAAAATGGTGCTTGATTCTAGACCTTTCATGCCTCAAACCACTCAGGTTCTTCGTTCTCAAATCGAGCGTGTTGAACGTCTTTATGCCGATGCTTTCTGTAATGGCCAAGTTGCTATCGCTGTCCGTCAGATGAAGACCCACTTGAGAGATCAGATTGCCTATGACCGTAACACTGTCTGGAAGGATATGGTCAGTCAAGAACGTAAAGTACTGGATGCTCATGTCAAGCCAAGCAAGCCATCCAAGAGCTATCCTATTCCTTTCACACAGCATCGAGTTCCTGCTGAGCTGGCCCATAGCATCATGTTCTTCTTACTGTCTGTTGTCCTGTTTGCCATCTTTCTCAACGTTAACATCTTTAATGATACTCAAGAAAACTACTGCTTTGCTCTACTCATCTTTGCTGCCGTCATGTGGGCTACTGAAGCCATTCCTCTCTACGCTACTTCTCTGTTAATCCCTTTCTTAATTGTCTTGCTAGGCATTATGTGCAATGCAGACGGAACACCAATGACGGCAAAGGCTGCATCCAAATCCGTCTTTTCGTCCATGTTTAGCGGAACAATTATGATGCTCCTTGGTGGATTTGCACTTGCTGCTGCATTATCTAAATATGGTATTGCCAAAGCCTTTGCTACTCATGTCCTCTCTCGTGCTGGTACACGTCCTCGCTGGGTCTTGCTTTCCATCATGGTCGTAGCTGCTTTTCTATGTATGTGGATCTCCAATGTGGCCACTCCCGTCCTTTGTTTCTCCCTGATCGATCCTATCTTGCGTACACTTCCTAATGGCTCAACTGTTGCGCCTTGTTTGTTGCTTGGTATTGCCTTGGCTAGTTGTATTGGCGGCATGACATCACCCATCTCTTCTCCTCAAAACATTGTTACCTTGCAATACATGAACCCCAACCCAGGCTGGGGTATCTGGTTTGGCGTGGCTCTTCCCATCTCCATCATCAGTATCTTCATCTGCTGGGGCTTGTTATTGCTCATCTACAGGCCTGACCGAACTGTGCCCCACTTGAACAAGATCAAAGCAACTCGCAGCAAGTTCACCTGGACTCAAGCCTTTATTATGCTCATTACCATCCTTACCATCGCTCTCTGGTGTGCCGAAAGTGCACTCGAGTCTCATATTGGTGACACAGGCATCATCGCCACCATCCCACTGTTTGTCTTTTTTGGTACTGGTATCTTAAATAAGAATGACCTGAACGCCTTCCTCTGGTCTGTCGTCGTGCTCGCTCAAGGTGGTATGGCTCTTGGTAATGCCGTCACTTCCTCAGGTCTGCTTCAAGATATCGCTCTCCGTATCAAGGACGGTGTTCAAAACTTGCAACCGATCGCGATCCTTGCCATCTTTGCTTTCCTCTTGCTCGTCTTTTCTACTTTTGTCTCTCATACAGTTGCTGCTCTCATCATCGTGCCTATTGTCCAACAGGTTGGTAAGAACTTACCTGTGCCCCATCCCAATTTGCTCGTCATGGGTGCAGGCCTTGCTTGCTCTGCCGGTATGGGTCTTCCCGTGTCAGGTTATCCAAACATGTCTGCCATCATGATGGAAGATCAGACGGGCAAACCTTATCTTAGGGCCAAGGATTTCCTTATCGTCGGTATCCCTGTCAGTGTGGCTGTAACAATCTTGATCTTCACTCTCGGATATGGTATCATGTCTGCTGTTGGCTATTAATGCTTCTCTTTGTGTAATCATTCTTGTAACATACCAACTCTTTCATTTAATTTTCTAAAAAGCATTGTAACATACATTTATACAGCAATAATAACAACAATAATAATAAAATCTAGAAACTACACAATTGTCTATAACATTTTTATTATTATACAAATTATTCAAAAGCTTTCAGTTCTTCTTCCTCCTTCAATTCATCTTCTCTTCTCTTTTCCTCTGCTCTCTTTTCGAGTTCCTGACTCATCCAGAGCTTGACATCAAGGCGATACACTGATCTGGTTCTGAAATATCCCAGCTTTTCTTTCGAAACAAGCTTATAACCGTGTCTCTTCTCCAAAATCTCTGCCATCTTTGTCTGTAACTCGTCAGTCTCTGCATAGAGATACTCTATCTGATGTGCATGAGCCCAAAAGGCAACTCGCTTCAACAACACGGTTGACAGTCCATGGCCCTGACATTCCAATTTGACAGCTAATCGTCTGACACTGGCCTCCCGAGGCTTGTGTGCTTCAAATAAGATCTTTTGACGGCGTTCTTCAATTTGAACATTGTTCAGCTTCAAATAGATGTCTCGGACGAAATCAAAAGCGCCTACCAAGACCAATCGAATCCAATCATCTAATTTCGCCAACACATAGGCCGTCTTCTTCCACTCGGCTGTCTGGATCTCGGGGGCATCAGCAGTACTCGGACGCTCAGACGCTCTCACATACTTGCTTTCTTTTATACTTTGGTCAATGACCGGTTCTTGATTATGGTCCATGCCGATACAACCCACGATCTCATCATTGAGCGTGAGCACCCAGAAATTACCTTTACGTATATCACCCGGTGTACCTCGGTAGTAAACATCAGGTTCCTTCAAGTCATTTTCGATTCCTTCAATCACTCTGTATGTTACATCAAACTTATCCAAGTACCAAAAGAGACCTACAACGCCTCCACCTACAGAGACCAGAGTGACAAAGACTTGAAATGTTAATGTCAGCATAGATGGCCATTCGTACTTGTTGGCTAATCGTGTTGCTGTTGTGATCAAGAGTGCATAGAGACCCAGCCATAGAGCGATAAGAAAGGGAGACTGCAGTCGTAAACGAACAGCTTGGGGCACAAGGTTGAAATAGGTCGAATAGAATAGGTATTGAACATACTTCTTGTCTGTTTCTGCAAAGTAAGGTCGAAGCCCAATTGTGGCTTTGGGCTTTGATTCTTGTTTATTCAGATCAATCGTACCTACGTTGATATCTTGAGTCATTTAAAAGAGTAGAAAAAAAAGAAAAAAAAGAGAAAAAAGAAGACAAGGAAATGTTATTTAAGCTTTGTTATGCCAACAGCAACCAGACACACACGTGCATAAAGTAAAAAATATCAATTCGTGGACTAAATGATTGGTTAAAAATAAAAGATGATTGGACAAGTTCAGTGTCTCTTGTTCAAACAAGAATTTTATTATATGCCATTCTAAATAATTTTTTATTGTTGAGCGCATTGGACACCGGGACCATGGTGATGATCATCGTCGTCATCATCTTCATGATATGCATGAGATGAACCACTGTTTCTAGCTTGGTAACCTTCTGCATCCACCAAGACAACGTCGTCAGTATGTTTATCTTGAAATGTGGGTAATGCGGGACGAGGAGGTAAGATGGTTTCCAATTTTTTGATTGTTTCTTCGTCTGTCCAGTTAGATTGAGGGAATTCAACAGTGAACTTGACAAAGAGATGACCACGGTTGTCGATACGATGTATAGGCATACCTTCATGGGGGATCACTTTAACCATGTCAGGTTGAATCGTTTCACCAGGAATCACATTCACCAAAAGAACACGATCATCTAAGTGGGGTATAGCAAATTGACCACCAGCCAAGGCAGTCAAAAGATCAATCTTGGCTTCGTAAACGAGGTCATCTCCTTTACGAGTGAAGCGAGGATGAGGCTTTTCTTCAAGGACGATGATGATATCACCAGGAATGATACCAGGTGCTTGATCTCCTTCACCAGAGAATGTAATCTTTTGACCTCCACGCATACCACGTTCGATATGAACTTCGAGAATCTTTCGTTCGGTTACAATCTTTTTACCCAGACATTGTTTACAACGGTCCTTTTCGTTAATGACTTCACCCGTACCACGGCATTCAGGACATGCTTGCTGCACTTGCTGAATCATGGGACCCATTTGTCTCATCATGATACGGATACCTTGTCCATTACAGCCTTTACAAGTTTGAACTGCACCTTCTTTGCCTCCTTTGCCATCACACTTGTTACAGAGCACATTCTTTTGCAAAGCCAATTTGCTGGTCTTTCCAAGGTAAAGGTCTTCAAGACTCACTTTCAATTGGTGCACCATGTCTTTACCACGACGAGGTCCTTGAGGTCCACGACGGCCACCTCCACCGAAAAATCCTCCACCTCCAAATAATTGAGAGAACAAATCTTCAGCGTTCATACCACCCATTCCACCTTGACCGTTTAAGCCTTCTTCACCATATTGGTCATAGATTTCTCTCTTTTCGGGATCAGACAAGATTTCGTAAGCATGAGAAATCTCTTTGAATTTGTCACCGGCATCAGGATTCTACAAGAGATGGTCAGATCTTGTTTAGTAAGTATAAATATATAAATACCTTGTCTGGATGATACTTTAAAGCAAGCTTTCTGTAAGCCTTTTTGAGTTCACTGTCTGTAGCAGTTGGACTCACACCCAAGATATCGTAAAATTTAGTATCGGCAACCATAATAAAGAAAAGAAAGAAACAATCGAAAAAAAAGGGGGAATTAATAAGAAGAAAAAAAAACTTTCTAGTGATTTCGAACCAAGTAATTTGATTGGCTTAGTTTTATTTTTTTTCTTGAAATGGTTCAACCAACATCTTTGAGAACTCCTTGATTTCTTCAACACCACGAACTTCTTTTGTTAATAAAGGCATACGAACAATATGGAAATCTTCATAAAGATCATAGATTTGATCTAAATACTTTTGCTGCATCTTGTGTCTAACAGTACAATGTTCACAGTTGGAATCTTCTTTAGGGAATAATAATTGATTGACGACAATGTTGTGCGTATCAATATGATAAGAAGTCAATTCTTGAATCATTCGTTCTGTTTCATATAAAGACAAGAATTCAGAGATACAAACACAGACAAAGGTGGTTGTATTCTATTAAATATGAGCACATTGTTTAAATAACAAAAAGCATACTTACAGGATCTTTGAACTGCTTATTGACTTCGTTAATAATGGATCTCATTTCCTCTAATTTTGAAAACATATCCTCTTGATTGGCGTTCATACCCATCATACCTGATACTTGTTGAACCATTGGACCAAAACGGCTACTTAATCCACTAATCTTTGCAAGTGCCTTTTCTAATACAGTGGGGAACGATAAGAAACGAAGCGTGTGTCCAGTGGGTGCAGTATCAAAGACCACAACTGAGTAAGACATGGTCTTTACTTGTTTCATCACTTCAGCGAATCCCATAGCTTCGTCAACACCAGGAATAGCAAACGCCAAATCCTGCATCATACCTCCCATAGGGTTATTTTGCTCAGCTATAACAATATTAGCTTTAATCTCTGTATTCTCATCTTTTGCTTACATTGTTCAATCATCTCTTGAATACTAGAAGTAGGGTCAATTTCCATTGCATACAAGTTACTGAAACCATTGACCAGAGTTGCTTCCTTGGAAAACTTTTGTCCAAATGCGTCAGATAAGTTATGGGCAGGATCCGTAGAGATCAACAAGACAGATTCACGCACTTTGGAAAGTTGAACAGCCAAAGAACAAGACGTGGTGGTTTTACCTGAAATCAATTAGAACAAAAAAACATTCCATCGGAATAACAATCACTTACCAACACCACCCTTTCCACCCACAAAGATCCAGTGAAGTGATGTTTGATCGAGAATATTCTGAAGAGTGGGTTCAAGTGGTTGAAATTCGTCGTCTGACATGTCCGACATGATGAATGTTTATTAAGGGGAAAAAAAAGAAAGAGGAACTGTGTGAAAGAGAGAGAGAGGACACTTGAAGCGTTTTTATTGGCTAATCAACTGGCAAAGACAGAGAGACAGAGAGGGGTCCACAAATGGTTCACCCGTTGTGTCAGTTCAATGACAGCTGGGACTCTTTTAAACTTCAGCTTTAATCTAAACTGAGACATTTTTTAACGTTCATTCTTGTCTTTCAAAAGGATACAAGAAGGAATATCCTCTTCTTCAGCTGAATGACCTCAGTGGTAGTAAAAGAGCTATTATAGTTATTAATACTATGTTGTTCATGAATTTAACTGTAAATGATTATAATACTCATAGGAATAAGCTGTAGGCCGATGCTAATCTTGGAGCGTGTCATGACCATCTTACTACAGAAAATATCCGGTGCGACGAAGAAGTATGATTTAGTGAATTGTCTTTTATCAAGTAAGCGTCCTTCCTTCTTGTCTGTCACTCATTCTTTAAAGCAATACGTAATCAGTCTGTGAGTCTTTTGCATGGTAATATCAGAGATGGCTTTATCTCGTCCGCTGATACTAAAATAACCGAGTTCTTTTAAGAATTTCTTGCTACTGCTCTTATTAAGTTACGCGTCTTGTTGGCATTCTTATCATTGGAATAATTTGACATATAACCACTTGGTTTACTTCTATGTTGAGAGACAGTATCTTATTGATTTGATCTTGCTTTGACCTTTATGAGTAAAACAGGGTCGCTTGGTTTTTGCTTATCAAGTCTGAAAGAATGGTCTGGTGTTTTATCGGAGACATTTTGTTTGCTCTCAGCTTACATTTTCTGTTCGTAGTTTATTTGCAAGTTGCTTTGGTAAACAATCTCGCTGTTTCTTTTCTGTTACTTTTAAAATTATTCATAATAAAATCTGGCAATATTTGACTTTTATATAAGGATGAAGAAGAGTAGTTTTATTGATACAGAAAAAGTTGCGCGGCTCGAATAACTCAAGTAGCGCATCTGCAGTCCGACTGTAGTGAGCTGGTTATAATGTAGGAACAATCAGATACATATATTTGCACTTGTACTAAAAAAAATGAAGTTATATAGAAAAAAGCAGCTGTAATAAAGCAATGAATTAAACCAAGTTGACCATAGATTTAAGAAATAGTCATTTTAAAAAAGAGAAAAACTTTTTTGTTGTGGAGTGACTGACTGTTCGAAACATAGCCAATAGCCATAAAATATATCACTCCTTACAAGGGGGGGGGAGAATAAGAGGTCTGGGGGGAGAGAATAAATTTGTTTCTAAGCAACAAATTATATAGAAAAAGACGTCCTTTCATATACAAATCATTTACAGGCATAGGCTTATGTTGACATGAAAGGGGGGTGCATATGACTTTTATTTAATTTAACAATAAAGAAGCAAAAAAAGAAAATATGTTTCTTAATATTTTATTCTCAATTTTTTGAGTCTCCTTTTTCGTCTATTTTTTTTTTCTTTTCATAAAGAAAAATAAAGGTTTCTCTTTTTTTTTTTCAAAGAAAAAAAAAGAAGGAAGGAAGGGGATAAAACAAGACGATTATGACTTGTGCGTTTTCATTTTATTTTGGACAAGTCGATACATTACCAACCTCTTTGACCTGTCAAATTTCAGTGGAAGGCACCAATATTACGCTCACAGGTCAAAAAGACAATGTGATGGCAACAAGGACTGAATTACTAAATCTATATCCTACCAAAGTATAAATTGTTTACTTTATAATTGACTACAGCTGACATATAAAATTGATCTTTAGATCCACTTGAATATAAAGATCCCTGATCAAGATTGTAATCAATTACGTATAGAATGCGATAAAATTGCAGCAGAAACCAATACAGCCATCACTGTCACTGAACCCATTGCTCAATCTTCATTTACCTTACAAAACACAGTGAACATCCTTATCACTGGTATACCCGACCAAGCTGAGAGTGCTAGAGTCAAAGTGTTGGTCATGTTAGATAAACAGGTAAAGAGAACATGGACCCTTTTTATGTGTGCTGATATACTTTTTTATGCATGCTTAGTCAAAGCTGAATGTAGATACATTAAATATTCCATACAAATTGCATCAATTAATATGCGGACGGAAACGAACCGGACTTCAATCCATTTTGGAAGAAACAGCTACTTCGGTCTATTTTCCATCACCATTTTTATCGACAAATGACAGCCCTTTCATCTATATCTCTGGAGAATCACAGCAGGTAGCACGCGTCAAAGAAAGACTGAATCAACTTGCAAATGAAAAGGTATATCAGCTTCTTTAAGAAAATTTTGTCACTAAAAGAGGATATTTTTAGGCAAAAATCCTTCATCAAAAAGAAGCTGTACTACATCCACGTAAATTAGATTGGATGTTATTACATAAAAGAAACGATCTAAGGAAAATAATGCGTGATAATGCCTCCTTTATTCATTTCCCAAAGATGGGCACTGGCAGTAACCTGGTTACGGTTTATGCAGAGAATCAAGTCAATGTTGAACGTACTTTACGTTCACTTCATCATTTGGTAAGCATCCTGTGAATCATGGTTTTTTTTTTAAAAAAAACGTGCTAACATACTCTTTTTATTCTTTTGTAGGCTTGTGGCGTCTACGAAGCTTGCTTCTATTTTAATCACCGTGACATCTATGGAGTTGAAAATGCCCACACTTTTTTACCCAACATTTCAAGCCTTGTCTCTCAGTTATCTCAGATATCACATGCTGAAGTCGCTTACTTGCCTGATCCAAGCCGTATCGAAGTCCATGGAACGGAGCGAGCAATACGTAATGTCTATCAGCGTCTCCATGACATGGCATTCTTGAAGGTAAATATTTATAAAATTGAAATGCAATAAGCACTAACATATACGCGCGCGTGCAAAAATACAGATGTTTCATCAAAGCACAGTTTTCAATGTTGAACTTTCCAACGACCAGCGAGAATTTATCAGCGGCAAAAAGAGTGGCAAGATCAACAAGATCATGAAGACTTCAGGAGCCAAGATCAAGTTTGTTCCATTCAGTGAATACAACTTTATTATCGAAGTCGAAAGTAACAGTTTCACAAAGGCTCTGGACGGTTTAACATTGCTGCAAGAGGAATTGCCTGCAGAGATATCATTTTACGTACCCGAGGTATACCATAAAAGGATCATTGGTGTGGGTGGCAAAAACATTCAGCGCATCATGAAAAAGTATGGTGTTTATGTCAAGTTTTCAAACGCAGAAGAATTTGCTGCCTTGGGCGGGTACTATGACAACGAAGACAATGTCGTCGCACGCACACCCATGAAGAACCAAGTCAATCTGGATAACTTACGGCATGCTGTCATGGAGCTAATCAATCCAAAGGATCGAGATTGCGTCGAGCAGGTCATGCATGACGTACCCTTTTGGCTTCGTCGCACCTTGATGCGTGATCAAGCTGCTTTCTTAGCAGAAGCGGCCAAAAAGACCAACACACGCTTGATTTGGCCTGATGATGAGCTGGCGAGTGATACACTAACGATTATAGGTCCTGAATCTCAGGTAGAGGTCGCTGTGCAAATGGTGAGATCTATCCTGCCCGAAGAATACAAGCTATATATACCTTTCTCATCCCAATTGATACCAACATTGAAGTCTGAGTCATTTGAAAAGGAAGTTGTTCAGCGTATCTCAAAGGAGTGCAACATTCAGACAGAGTGGAAAGCACAAGAGCAAGCTGATGAAAACATTGAAAAGGACGAAATTATCACCTTCAAGACAGTTAAGGGAAACATAGATGCCTTGTCTGTCGCCTTAAAGATAGCCACGGATTACTTGAAGAGTCAACAGATTGCTTTGTATGAAGGAAGCACGACCCTTCATCACGCAGTCAACGGTCATTATCACGCTCTGCCTAAAGAAGGCATCCAACCCAGTGTGTCAACTGCAGCAACCCCCTTTCATGTGTTTGATAGCAAAATTCTTCCTCCACCCATTATGGCTTCAGGTAAAGAGTGACGATTGTTCCTTTTTTGATAACTTATGCTTTATATTATCTTGAACAGATCTTGTATCGCCTACGACGTCGTCATCTTCATCTATCTTGAATGATTTCCAGTCTGTGTTGAACAACAACAATAGTCTCAAGAGTTATTCTCTTTTTGATTACCCAACCACGACGACAGCGAGTGCATTGGATGCCTCTTGGAGAAACTTTAGAGATATAAGTTCAACTCGAACAGCCGAGAACATCCGCGCCATCTTTGACACGCCAGCTGAGAGAGGTCCACCACCTTCACTCTTTCGCAGCGTTCCGCCGACAAGCCCACCTGGAGGATTAGATATCTGGGGTACGAATGGGCATCAACTGAATGGATTCGTGGGTAGTCCACCGATAACAGGACCCATGGAAAGCAAGTCTCATTCGATGGTAAATTGTTATTGTAGCTCGTAAGCTTTACTCATATTTCTTTTAGATATACGCGCCTCCAACTGCCAACACGAACCATGGAGGATTTTATCCAGCCTTGAACAGCAGTAAAACGTCGACAAGCAATCATGATTTTAATTCATACATTATGCCCACGTCTTCTACATCCACAGGTAGTAATAACAGCTCTATGCATTCAAGTCAATCCATGCCAGATATTGTACTAGAAGAAAGACAACATACCGGTACTTTACCCTCTTTCCAAAACTATATCCATACCCAAAGTCCACCTTTAATTTATCCATCTTCTACTACAGCATCTCATCATAATAAGCCCATATCGGCCTTTTTATCAGCATCTGCTTCAACACCCACGACAACAACAGCGTCAAGAGGACAACATCATTATCCAACTTTGTTCTCACAAAACCATTCGTTTGCTGATGAAACAGTTCGTAAGTAGTTTAATACAGACCATTCTTTTAATTAACATTTTTATAGTTGTTCAAAATTTGCTTAATAGCATGTCAATCAATCAGCCAGCCAAGTAATTTACCCCCCTCTATTTCTTCTTTCCTTTTCTTCTTCTTTTTAGTTGTATGATTATACTATTCTATATTATACTTTTATTTTCCTATTCTGTTAGATTTTTTATATATAAACGAGGGATACACACAATAAGTTTCCTTTCTTTTTACTAAATATACTTTGGTTTGACAGTCATAATAAAGCCATATGGGCAATGATGTTGGCTAAATGTGTTTGTTTATTGAAAAGATGAGTAGAGGATATTTAACAAAGTTT